GTCTGGGATCAATGTTATATTCGAAACGTTTTCGAGTTACTAACTCATCATCAGCAAAGAAGAAGAAGAAGAAGAAGAAAGAACACTTGAATTACTATACAATAAAAAGCCGAGGCATCAGTGTAGCAAAGTGTAAATAATAAAATTGGTTATAAATTCATTGGTTACATCAAACAAAAACAAAACATCAGAAAACAAGCAATAAACAAAACAAAAAAAAAACAAAATCGGTTACAGTTCGGAAATTGGTTGATTAAAGTATATGAAGTTTCGGATACTATAGAAAATAAAAGATTTAAGAATTAGGAACAAGCTGGTAATAAAACTTTACAAACAATTTTACAGATAGTCCAATTATACAACGTATATGCAGAGTATATACAGTTTCTCTTTCAAGCAATGTGTGAAAAATTAAACTGAATTAAAAAATATAGAACTAGCAAAAACGGTAATCACGCCACGTATTTGTATTAGTACATATAGGATTGTTTCTCAATTCACTCACGTAAAATTCTTTCAATTTTTTCTTGAATTCTGTTTTCGATTTTTCTAAATTGCGCAAAATTATGGGCAGTGAATTCCATTTTTTAGAAGTCAAATGAAAAAATGATTTTTGTAGAGAAGCAGTCGAACAATGTTTGTCAAAAATAATTTGTTTCGTTCTTTCGTTGAGCCTATAATTGGCAGTCGGTAGTCTCAGTGTATTTTCAAAAGCCTTCTTTTTGTTTGTAAGATATTGGTATAAGTATGTTATACACTTTAACTCAATTCTTTTCTCGATTCCAATGAACGATTTGCTAATGCGAAGAAGGGAAGAAGATTTAAAATTCGATCTGAAATATGTTCTTTTTAGCGCCCAGTTCAACTGTTTCTCCAGAGATAGCATCAAAGTAGCATTAATTTGTTGTAAAAAAATTGCTGAATAATCTAAATGTGATAAAACAAGACAATGAAGCAAGGCAACTAATGATAATGTCGGCAGTTGTTGTCCAATTGTATCAATAGTTTTAATCCCTTGGGCCATTTTTTGGAGAATTGTTTTGATTTGAGCATGAAAAGATAAACTTGAATCAAGAATTATGCCTAAATATTTGCATTCTGATTTTTTGGCTACATAATGCCCACTAATTACTAGTTTATCAGTATCCACATTTTTGCTATCATTTTTTTGACAAAATGTTATAAATTCATGCTCAAAACATCTGAAAAATTTGCAAACTTAATAACACATAGGAATCAAACGGCAGAAATGGAATGTGACATAGCACCAAAAATAAAAGCAACTCTTTCGTGGTGAGAAACCTCACAACAACGAAAGTTTTTAAACAAAAAGTTTAGGGAGAAAGTTTTTTGTCTTAATGAAAAGCTCCCCGTTTCATGATATCGATAGTATTTTTGTATTTGCACCACATATAATTTGCCGCAAACGAGTAGTTTCAGCAGTAATTTTGCTGTAGTTTTTTCTCTTGATTGTTTACCGGAACTCGTGCATCCGAATTGACTTCTAGGAATCAGTAATTCTTTATTCAAAATGTTACTGCAAAAAAACTTGAAGTTCAAAAAAGTCAAAAAGGAGAGTCAGTTTTCTGTTACTGAGCATTGAAACAATTGGTTTGTCTTAGTACAAAGGTTAGTTTAGCTAGATTTATTGAGCCATTCAATGATAAAAGTGTGAATTTTTTTTAAGAATGAGTGTTTGTTTCTGTTAGCCTGGTCTATTTATAGGTAGTTTCTGTTGAAATGGGTGGAGGCAGGCTGCCTTCACTGCATAGCAGTATTTAAGTTTTTTCTTGGAATTTTCATACGTATAGGAATAAGGTCAGTTTTGGGCTCCTCTATCGTTTCCCCGCCACATGACTTTTTGTAATTGCTTAAGGCAGTCTTATGCTATTTTCATGAGATATGGGCTACGTGGTCAAAAAGTTGAATGGCATGTCGTAGGAAAACAGTCGAGTAGCCCAGATTTGACGTGAACCTCAACCCGAGCTGTTCGCAGTTTGTAGGATAGTGTGTTGTAGAAAACATTTCAGGCCGGCTGGCCTGAACGTTCAATACAAAAGCTCGTAACTGTTAAATAAAATTCTCTTGCTGACGGATTTGGGGAAGCAAATAATTGATAAGATATTTTTTGGATGATACGACGGCTGGCATTTATAGCTTGCCATTATGTAACAAAGATAAGGTTCTCGGCTCTTTTCCATCCCCCCACATTTGATTTTTTTTGAGTTTTGAAATACTATTTTACTTTGTCATATTTTACATAGTCATGAGTTTTGAAATAGTATTTCACGTTGTCATAAAGGGCTCTCTTTATCCCCCCCCCACCCACCTGCTAGTTTTTAAATTTGAAATTACTGTTCACATTGTCCGATTGTCATGAAAATTGAGTGAAGAAAAGGTGTCAAAAGAAACCCATCAATGAATGAATGAATGAATGCAGACTAATTAGGCCATGACAAACATATTTGGTCTTCATAATCAACCTTTAAAACCACTCGTTAGACCATAAAGTTTATGTTTGTGTGAGGTGGGGGAAAACGAAAAACAGCCTCATAAAGTAATGGAATTTTGTCGGTAAAGCTTGCATCAATGTTACTTCAATTAAACGTTTTCGTCCGAAGACATCATCAGAAATCTAGAAAAACTCAGTTTGATGGCAATGGAAACATAAAGGTAACTTTAAGGAGGAGAATAAAAAGTAGCAAGGATAAATTTTCTCGCCAGCAAATCTGGAACTGAAAAAAAGAAGTTTTTGCATGAAACTTTGCATGGTGAACAACTTAATTAATATGAACACATTTTTTTAAAATAATTTACATCGGAACATCACGCTTTCATCCATCACATGGAATAATTAAAATGAGAGGGGCAAAGTGGAAAAGAGTCGGGTTCTCTTTTAAATCGATTCTAGGAGAGCAGACCCCGTCTTTGGTGCCAATGTGTTCGAAGTTTAAGTCTGTTGAATAATTAATTCGAGGAAAACTTTTAAAAAGATCCCATTAAATGTGTTATTGGCGTATTTTGCCTTGGTCCAGAAAATCAAAGGGTTGAGATTTTGGGGCTTCTCCATTATAACCCCCTGCGGCTCTTTTTCCTTTCCCCCGATTTTGGACGATGTGTCCAATTATCGTCCCATCAGCCTGCTACCGAAACTTTCCCTCGGTCTGGAGCGTATCTTATTTGATTACATTTACACTAGCATTAGGCCGAAAATTACGAAATACCAATCCGGCTTTATGTCAAGGCGTTCAACTGTCACGCAACTGTTAAACTTCTGTGATGAGCTTTATAGGAATCACGAACTTGGTATTTCGTCTTTTGTTTTTTATGCGGATATCAAAAAGGCGTTTGACTCGGTTCCTCACCATAAATTGCTCAAAAAACTTGCGGATTTCGGTTTGGATGTTAGCTTTCTCCAATTACTTAAAAGTTATCTTTCTGGACGCTTTCAACGTGTGCGAATCAATGGTGTGCTCTCTGATTTTGTGAGCATTATGAGTGGTGTCCCGCAAGGTAGTATTCTGGGGCCGTTATTGTTCTTGTTATTTGTGAACGATCTTCCTGATTATCTCTTATCCAAGCCATCCCTCTTTGCTGATGATCTGAAATGCTGCAGTACCTCTGTTCCCGTACTTCAACGCGATCTAGATGCTATTATCAATTGGTGTGGCGAAAATTCTCTCGATTTACATCCTGACAAATGTAAAGTCCTGAAGTTTTTTAACCACAGCTCTGAAAACCCAGATCTCTATATTGGTGATCACAAAATCGATGAATCTTTAGACGTCAAAGATCTTGGGATCATTTTCAGTTCTGATTTATCGTGGTCGCACCATGTTTCTGAAAAGTTATTCAAGTGCAACAAAGTGTACTTTATGTTAAAGCGAAATGTTCCGAGCAGTACTCCGAGACAAACGAAGGTTCGGCTCTACAAAGCATGTATTCTATCTGTGCTTACTTATGGTTCTTCTATCTGGATACCTAACAAGACCGACTTATCCAAGCTCGAAGCTTTCAACAGAAGATGCGTGAGATGGATCGGTCTGTCAGGTGATTATAAAACGTCACTGATAAAGTTAGGAATCTATCCTCTGCCATATCATATTGAAATCTCAAATCTTCTGTTTTTCCATAAACTGTTTCAGGACAAGTACGATTTAAACCCCTTCGATTTTGTTGATATAAATGACCCATCTGTATCATTACGGAGTGTTGATATATACTCTTTCAAATTAAAGAAGCGAAAATACGAGAAGACAAAGTCCTTTTATTTTGACCGTATTCCTAGACTATTGAATTTCATGAAGCTTGATGTCCGTATATCATTCCCCCGGTACAAGCGTGAAGTTATGAAGTTCTATGATACGAAGCTACGTCAAACATTCGAAGAAAACATTCCGTGTACTTGGTATGGAAAGTGCTGCTGTACCTTCTGCCGGTCATAGTTTATTTTATATATTTATATTTTTTTTTTTTTTTTTTTTTTATGTTTGCATTTCATTATTTGTGATTGTAAACTCCCCACGGGGTAAATTAAGCCTTCCTCTCTCTCTCTCTCTCTCTCTCTCTCTCTCCCACCGGCAAATTTTTATAATTCAAAATACTGCTCACATTGTCCGATTGTCATGAAAATTGACATGCAGACTAATTAAGCCATGGCAAACATATTTGGTCTTCATAATCAACCTTGTAAAACCACTCTTAGACCATAAAATTGATGCTTGTGTGAGGAGGGGGAAGAGCCCTCCCCCCTGTAATTTATACCGCCAGAATTATGTCTACGGCTATAATGAAAAAGTGTCGAATTGTGAAATACTTTTCTCTCGATGATCTTACTATGGGGAGGGGGTCGTAAATTATATGAAAGAGACAAAATTGTGCTGCTCATCTGATAAATTTATGCACGTGCTTAATAATGTTGGGTTATTACGGTCGATCAAACAAAAACTTTCAGCGTTAAAAAAATCTGAAAAGCTGATGAAAAAAAAATTTTTTAGATTAAGAATGTAGCCGAACTTTATTACCCTTGTACAATGTATTGCATTAACTATATGCATCTAACATAGGACCCATCTTGTATATCTGCTGTAATTGCCTAATATTTCCCGAAAAGCAGTGTTCTGTTCGGAACAAGCATGGGATTATTCAACGACAAAGACGATGATGAATTGAAGCAGCCAATCACAAAGCAGCAAGACGTTTCTCCATCGAATGGGGACGATGAACAGCAGCATAAGAAAGGGAAGAAATATCGCAAGGCTGATAGGTTTCAGGGAAGGAACACTCTGTGTTGTCATGGCCGGGTGGTGATGGCAAAGAGTCTGCTGGCGTTTGTGGTTACTTTGCTGCTTATTCTGGTCCCATCAATTCTTTTCTTCATTTTCGAGTAAGTATTTTTTTTGGCTATTTTCCAGTTTCCGGTTTCCCTCAAAAAAGATCATAAAAATGGTCTCTTTGCATGTTACCGACCCTTTTGATTTTTCTGAAACTCAAGTTGCAAAATTCTATTTAAAATGACTTATGATATACTAGACTGTGATAAAATGTGAACACGTGAACAGATTGTTACTACATTTCGGCTCTTTTTCCGTTTCCACCACCTGACATAAGCATCTTGTTCATGGTGTAACGGAGGATTTACAAGGTTAAGTACGAAGACCAAACTTTTGGGGATCTTTTACCATTATAGCCCCTCCCGTAAATTATTGCTCCTAGTAGTTTCTCAGAGAAAGCAAATAAGCATGCAAAGTAAAATAGCATGTGCATCTTTATTTATGTATGGATAGTTAGTAACTCTATGCAGCGCTAAGCTCAGTTCTAACAACACATGGATGCAGTTTTGTATGAATGCACTTACGAACGGAGGCGCAACAATTATTGGCTCTTTCCATTTCCCCTTTTTATATTAGCGAGTGGTTAGTGAGTGAGATATATAATCTCTAGGTCGCAGTAGGTCGTAGGTTCGAATCCAAGACGTATCCGAATTTTCCCGAAGTGGAGGCTTTTTCGATTTTTTCTTATTGCAGTTTATAGAGCTACCTTTTATCGTCTTCTCGCTAGTGCTTGCTTCGTCTTTGTGTCAATTTTCTTTTACTTAACAGTTTTTATAACATTTTTATTTATGTCGAACATTTCAGTCCTTTTTTGCTTTACCATTTCAAGAATTTAGTATAGCAGGACTTGGTCTCCCTGTAATGTAGTGAAACTAAAAAGCCCCAAATGCTAACGAAAAAATAGAAATGTTTTCTTTTTGAAAAAGCTTGCAGAAACGACAGAAATTTTCTGCGGATACAATAAAAACTGATAAAACGTGTAAATCGAATTTCTTGATTCAAAATTTTTACAGTTTGTAACAGAAGATGTTAAAAATATCGAAACTCTTGCCAACTTTTTCAGTTTATCCTAGAACTTGATTGACTTGATCAAACCATAAAAACTTTCACGAAATTTTGTAAATGAAATCAACGTGGTGCTACTAAGCTAAACTAGGTAATTTGCTTTAAATAGCCGTTGGTAACACGTGAAGCAGGTCAGTTTTTTGCCACCACCTTGTTTACTCAAAGTATTGCGGGACCCAATTTGCGGTTTGCTCGATGCCACCTCAAACCATGATTTCTCAAAACTAAATGTTCATACTAGCTCCTAGCTCGCTGACTCCCGCTTAGAAAATCCTATCACATACCTCGGAAAAGCGTATTTTGAATACCTTTTGAATACTACGCTTTGAGCACCTTATTACATACCTCGCAACAGCCTGTTGCTATACCTTATTTAGTTTTCAAGCCAAAAGCGATAAAATTTTTGAAAGTGCCGTTTCCAATTAAGCCATTTCTTGTCCATTCGGAACGATGTTAAATGGCACGACGTAATTAACAACTGGATTACCAATTCACAAGGTCAAACCAGTTAAAAAATATACTTATTCGTTATAGATATAACAGTTATGCAATAGTTTACTGTAAGCGTGAATGTAGCGACATTTTTTAACGACTCAGCTATTTTACTTGTTAATACTCTGCCAAACCTAAAATCTAGAAAACAAAATGATTCTAACTTAAAGAAACATTGTTTTGAATTCCATCAAAATCCTTTGTCAGAGTTGAAAATTTTTTTACATTTCTACTTCCAGATGTAAGTACAATGCCAGCAAAATTTTTCAAAGTAGAAGTTTTCAGAAGAAACCCTTGGGTATGGCACACAGTCTTACAGCTATCACTACATTGTCAGGAACTTAAATTTGTCATTGAATCAGCATTTGTGGTCCTAGCCTTATCAATGATTCACAAAACTCTTTTCGTATCCAAAACTTCTGTCTCGCGCTATTTCTGCCACTCAGTACATCCCCGTTTCTAGGTACCTGATGCTGCCCTGATAGCTCAACAGTTATTCACAGCCATCAGTCAGGATATCGAAATTTCACAAAAACTTCAGATAGCAACAGTGCAAATAATTGGCAATCACAATTTGATAGCACTCATTGATAATATCGGTTTGCTGCAAGAAATAACCAATTTAGCGGGCATTAAGCCAATTTAAGTGAAAATAAGCAATCAATGATGGTATTCCGGGCTCCTACAGCAACGCAAAGTAAAGCTGAAGCAATCATAACTCTAATTTGAAGCTTGAATTGCCAGTCGCGTTACTCGCTATCCACATGAAAGAAGACATCAAAGCCTTGATGTTTCCTTTGACAATCGCTTTCATGTCGACTGATAGTACTACTATTCTCTAGTGGTTGAACTCGGACGGTAAATAACCTTTCTTCATGGGAAGTGGGGCTGGAGAGTCTCTCAAAACTATCACTGTCATTAAGTGGTTCTACGCCTTGAGCGGAGAAGATCTTGCCAACACTGTTACAAAAGGGGTCTTCGACAACTTTTAGAAAATCAGCAGTTGAGTGAATAGTCCCAGCTTTTCAAACAGCAATGAGTGGCTCTTCAAGCCGAGTATAGTATTATTTTAAAAAGTTCTTCAGTCTGGTCCTTCATCTGACCTCAATGTAGGTGTAAATCGAGCTTCCAAGTTTTTCAATGTGGTACAGAAACAACAGCCTATCTTGTTCGCTTCGGACAAATTTAGTTCTTTCCGTAAACTTCAGAGCGTGGTTGCTTTTATGATCAGATTGAGCCCTAATCCTAGGCACTATCTTACTAAAGCGAAGAAGATAACCGCCTGAAGATCCACCTGAATTGGAAAGAGCATATTTAAGACTCTTGTTGCTATCGCGAAAAGAGCCCTTTGAGGCTGACTTCCATAACTGTCCTCTGACAAAGCTGTCAAAAACTCATTCCGTATTGCATAATACGCACCGTTTTTTGGACACGCCGGCCTCAATTGTTCAGCGGGACGCATTCGCATCTTGGCTGAATAGGAATGTGGGACTAACCACCCTATCATTCTTGACAGTAGACATATCCTTGTAAAATTGTTTGCCATTCAGATTGAGTGAAAATTAGATTTGCATCGTCAAGATCAGAACCAATTTATAGGCTATCTGCGCACAATAATTCAATTTAATTTTGCAATCCTTCATTTTGGTGATGTGTTGAAGTCTGTTGAAGATCTTTGCCTCATGCGTAGGAAGCGTAAATGAAAAATTGTTACGACAATGATAGCAGAGCTTCAGCTGAACGTTACCGTTAACGACCATTAACGAATAGCGGCATAGATTATTTTGGACCTTTCTACGTCTCAATCCGAAAAAGTTCAAAGAAGTAATGGTGCTTTTTGTTTTCTTGTATGACAGCTAAGGTATATCTCGACCCCTGTTATTCTGGTTAATGTTACTTTATTCTGATATCATTATTCTTATCCAAGATTTTATTTGTGTTTGGTGTGGATTTTGTTTTTTTTTCTGATAAAAAGGAGTGAAATAACGCAATTCAGTACAAAGCTATCATAATTCCCGACTACTAGAACTCGATCTACCTACTACGAAAATGCTGAAGTAGAAACATGAGCCAATTAAGGTCTTCCCTCCCTTATTTCTATTGATGGTTCAACAAACTTCTTATTGGTAGCAGAGTTGTTCTTCTTACTTTACATTGTAACATCACGCGTTCAGCCTTAGAAACACGTGAATCAACTTAGAAGAAAACAGAAAACTCGAAATGGGAAGAGGGGTGGAAACAGCCATTAACCTGGTTCGTAAAAATAAATAGGCGTGAATCAATAAAAATCTAAGATTGTGAAAGCATGCGTAGCCCGCCAATGTTATTTTGGATGTTTTGTAAGAGTTGAAAATGAGCCGTCTTAATCTGGGATTCAGCTGTTTCTTCGCCTCACAGATGTTCTACTCAACATGTTCCTATGTGAAGATTTCTGTTGTTCAAAAGTTACTTTCCCCTTCGTTCTGAACTAAAGCTTTATCACCATATAGTTCACAGTTTCTCTAATTTTGTGTTAATATTTGAATAAGACTTGTGATCAGCCTAATCGATTATAAGAAATTTCTTTTTTTACTCTAAACTTGCAAATAAAAGTGTTAATTAGAAGTGTATTCTTATTTGGTAAATGAATAGCGTCTGTTCTCTCACTCATTTGTTGCTAGTGTATTTTTCGCCGAATAAGCGTTCCTGACTGAGAGGTTAGTGTGTGAGACTCATAATCTCTAGGTTGCATGTTCGAATCTGAGACATAGCTGAGTTTTTACTAATTCGAGGCTTTTTATTGCCTTTCATAGAGCTGCTTTTTGTTGTGTTTTCGCTAGTGTTTGTGAAGCGAAGCGTTGCCTGTTTGCTAAAAAATGGTTAATGAACAAAGAAAATTATCTATTGACAGCTTTTTCATTTGGTTAATTTCATCAAAAAAGTGTCCGTCATAAAAGATTCTGCAGATTCAAAGGGCTTCATCGTAACTTTACGCGTTAGCCTTAAATAAGCGTAAAGCATATATAAAAACCGAAAATTTGAAAAGAGAAGGGGGGTTGGAGAAGAGCTTAAAGGTCATATATCATTTTCTTTGAAATCCGAAAGTTGTACTTATTTGAAAAACAAGTCAGTATTATTTTCGGTTTCCTTGTGTTTATTCACTCTTTTCGAACTGAGGCTATGTCAATGTGGTGTTAATGCTCGTACGCGGGTTAATGCTGGTTTTGAGTGACAGTCGACTTGAATGACACTTGACTTTATATTTTAAAGCTTTTTTCTCGTGGTCCAATTGTCATAACACATGCGAGTAACGAACATATTTTGTCTTCATATACAACTTTGTAAAATCAATCTCGGAGTCTCAAACGAGATGCTTCGTGTGACAAAAATTAATGAAAACTCAATAGTTAATAGTAATTCATATAGTTTCATGTTCTTCCTTCAGGAATTAAGCCTTTTTCTTCGTCAATCATAACACCGTACAATCGTTCATATCTTGTTCTGGTTTTAGGTGTGTGTGCGTGTGTGTGTGTGTGTGTGTGTGTGTGTGTGTGTGTGTGGGGGGGGGGGGGGGTTAGCAGAGGTGTCAAGTTCTGCTTTCAGTGGTTGAGTAAATTGCATTATGTGTGTTTAGTGCGCCCTATTTGTGGAAACACGTGCATCAATCAGTGCCATTGATTCAGGCCACTCTATTCTTCAATGTAATGTCCAACCTGTTTCACGCAGCCTTCACAGACCCAGGCATAGTGCCACCCTCGAACGACAAACGAACAGACGAGGAGGAGTTCTACATTCGCAAAGAGGGTGAGACACTTTTTAATACCGCTCCCCATGTACGTGTGTGTGTCAGTCTTAGGTAATTGAAAGTATATTTTTCCTTTTCCCCTCTTGCTAATATTTACTATAGATTTCCGTTCGCATCTTCTGGTTGTTACAAGAATTGGTATCCGGACTAATTAGGCCATGACGAACAAATTTGGTCTTCATATTTTGGGTGTGTGTAGTTAAAAAGAGCCAAATTAGATACTTGGGTAACTTACGTTTTAAATACGTTTTACCCCTTGATTATCGGTCAAGTAATTGTTTTTCCGTAATTATTTCACGCAAATAAGCTGCAACAAATAACCATGTCGAGTGATAATCTCAGCATGTTTTAATCGTATGCCTACCAATAATTTTGGGTTTTCAAGGTGGAATTGCGGGCACTAAAGAATAGTTTCAATATATGACGCTAGGTAAACATGATTTTTTTCGGGTTCTTTATTTGTTGGAATTCAACCACGATTACTAACATTTACCTTTTGCACCTACATTTTGCGGAATCGTTTACAGTTGCGGAATCCAGAAGAACTAGCTATATTCGCTTGTTGCGGAATCCTCGAGACGAAACAAATGCGCCGACAAAATTTACGTTACAGGTATTTGTACGCGGAATCTACGGAAATTTTGTAAATGGAATCCACTTGCATTTTGGAACATGTTTAAAGATTTGTCCCTGATTTTAGAACATGTTTAAAGGTTTGTCCCTGGAATCCAGGAACATACAGACACAAAATTGAGCGCCTATCCAGTTCACAGTTTGGCTTTTTAATGTAAAAATTAACACTGCTTGTTTTCGAATATTGACTCTGAGTTAATCATTTAAACTTAAGAGAAGGATATAAATCTCTGCTCTACTCGTTTACCTTGGAAGAGGTTCTAATTATCGTTCCAGAAATATAAACAAAAAAGGACTGCAGTTCTTGAACCGAGTACAACAGCGCTGCTCCGTAAGAAGCTGAACATCTCGGATGTTCGATTTTTCCCTCGTTGATAATTTGTCCTAATAATATATATTTTTTTTAGCTGAACGAGCGCCTCGCAATTCGGAGGAAGACACTATCAAATCGGCAGGTGGGAAGAGTGCGGCCACATCACTTCACGCTCCTTCCGCAAGAGTGCCGGTGATGAAGAGCAAGACCATCTACATAGGGGGAGACAAGGAGGTGGACTACAAGTGGTGCTACACGTGCAGAATGTGGAGACCACCAAGGGCATCACACTGCAGTAGTTGCAACAACTGCATCGGTTAGGAGTGATAATTGGAGCGAACAAAGCTCGCCTTGATTTTGCATTGGAATAAAAAAATTACCCGTTGATTCAATTTTCTCAAATTGTGTTAATTTTATCATAGGTTCTCGGAAAAAGCCTTGAAAGATGATTTTTTTTTGCGATTTGACTTTAAAATTCTATTCAATTTCATTTGCTAAAAGGAAGGCAGACTGCTCTTCCCGATTGACTAAAATTCAGATTTCCCAGCTGAATAAAAGTTAAACCTATTAATCCAGTATACTCAAACTGACTTATTTTTATCAAAAAAGTGGCAATTATAAATTTTTCTAGAGCTTTAAGTTGCGATTTTTTTTCAAAAAACAAACTGTTTTTTTCTTTTTACTGGCGTTCAAAGACCTTTCTCCAGCTGTCTGATAGCTATGTTTATTTTTGTAGTTCTAATTATTTACATCTCTAATGACGGGTAATAAGAAGTGTCGTTTTGTTGGATTTAGAGGACTTTGACCACCACTGTCCGTGGGTGGGCAACTGTGTGGGTAAGCGGAACTACCGCTTCTTCTACCAGTTCCTCCTGGCAACTGTTCTCCTCACTCTCTTCTCTTTCTGCGCCGCATGTGTTCACATAGCACTCCGTAAGTAGGACAGTATTTAGTATAAAAGTTATAGCCACCCCTCCCCTCTCTCCAGTCTAGTATCATATAAATGTAGCCAGCACAACAGTAGGGTTTTTTCATTGCAACGGAAGGGGCCGTAGTTTGCTGGGGCTATAATGGGAAAGAACCCACTGCTATCACAAAAAATTGGACATGACGCTTGCAACGCGACCCTGAAGCCTTTGGTTATTAGCGAAGTACTTGCGGTTGTTTACCGAAATCAAATAATTGCAGAAATTATCTCAAAACTTGCAAATTAGATTCGTTATATTAAATCGCAGCCAGCTTTTTTTTTTTACTAATTGGTTGTGATACAAATGGTAGTCTTTATAATTTACAGATAGTCTGCGAAAGCTAACTAAAAGGTAAGGCTGCTAACGACCATTTGTTTAATCATTCAATGAATCCAGAGACGTATGAGAATGAGCAATTGTCTGCATTTCTGCATCAGTGTAGCTATTTTTAACCGTGATTTGCATGCCAATAGCTTAGCAGGTTAGGCTTTAAGTTTGTCAATCAAACGTTGGTTTCCGCTTCACATTTGCAGCGATTTAGCATGAACTCCACAGCTTTTCTCCTTAGTAATTTTTATGTCCTGCCCGCAATATTACAATTTACTTTTTTGTTATTTTTAACTGCCTGGCCCTGAATATGAAATGGTGTGTTGAATGACAACAAACTGAAAAATATATTTGCTGCACTGATACAGTTCACGTTATCCTTAAATGTGAAATAATCCTCTGAAAAGACATGGCTCCTAATTGCGACAAGGAATCATTCAAACGGATAGTTTATGACTTTAGTGGACAGACTCGAAAGAACATACTTGGATCAACCGTACACTTCCAGCCCCCCCCCCCCCCCCCCCCCCGAAATGACCTGCACTAGAATGTACTTCCTTAGCATGTATTAATTTTAAAAATTAATTCCGCCAAAATATTCATTTCAAACAAGTGCGCTGAATATAATGCTGGAGATTTTTTTTATAGCGCCGAATAGCTATCCTATCCTGTTAATAGCATAGTAATATATTAATCATAATTTGGTATCGATTTTTTTGATTAATTACATCAATTTAATTTGCCCTCGAAGTCAATTTCTGAAAAACCGATATACCTATTTTTATAAACCGATTTTTATCTCCTATTCGTTTTTTATGGGGGGGGGGATTGTTCGGTTGATCCACATTGATTCGCAATCCTGCACTTCAACCCTTGGCTCTTTCTTTCTAACCCCTCCCCCCACTTCACACGAGCACCAATTTTATGGAGTAAAAAGCAGTTTTACAAGATTAGTTATGTAGACCAAATATGTCGTGGCCTATTTAGTCCGTATATCAATTTTCATAACAATTGGAACAAAACTTTACTTAAAAAAATTACATGTGGGGGGAAAGGAAAAAGAGCCCAATCCTTGAGTTCATCATAATGTTTAGAATTGCCGTTAATGCCTTGGCAGTTATGTGTGTGGTGTTCACTTTAATTCGGATTCATTTTAGTGGCTGAAGATGAAGGAACCGTGAACAAAGCCATTCAGAAGTCACCAACTACAATAGTAGTGCTTGTGATCTGCTTCGGATCCTTCTTCGCAGTCCTAGGAATGCTCATATACCACACCTACTTGATTGCACTCCACTTGACAACCGCAGAGGAGATCAAAGGCTTCTGGTCTCCGGCTAGTAAGAAAAGGAGGGCAGCCAAGAGTCCATTCAGTAAAGGCAACTGCTGCAAGAATCTCTGCGCTGTGCTATGTGGACCCAGACACCCTAGGTAATTAAGTCAATTTTGTCTACTATGATAATATAATAATAATAATAAATTGTTTTCAAACGATATCTAGTTACAAAGTTTTTTTATTACACAAGCAATCAGGGGCGGATCTAGGATTTTCTCGAGGGGGGGGATGAGGATTTTCGAAAATTTTGTCGACCGAATTGATTTATTCGAGCTCTCCCAAAGCACTAATAAGAACCTGTTTTGGTCAAATTTTCTGTGCCGTAGTCTAAATTTTGAAAAACAGGCCTCGAAAGGCGTTTTTAGGCACTTTTTAGAAAATTTAGACCGAAAAAATTTCGTTTTTTTGGCGCGCGCTCCCCCCTTAAAGTAAGTATATAATGGCGCCTTTAGAAACAAATTTTAGGGTCCGTCACCAAATATGGATATCTCAAAATAGTGTATAGGGGGGATCCTTTGGGTCGGCAGGGGGTCGAATCCCTGAGAGAGGGCGTCCCCCTAAATCCGCCCCTGCAAGCAATGCTTGTGTGTTATAGTATGAACTATCGTTTTTTTTCCAACCTAAGTCGCAAATTTTGTTGCGACGCAAATATTGTTGCAATAAAATGTGTTAATTTTGAAAGCGTTCATTTTGATCAATAACCAGCTATTAAGTACAGCCAATGCTAAGGATTTTAACACAGAATATATTGTTCCGACTTTTTTAACGAAAGTAACGGGATGTTTGTGCTCAGGGTGGTTTTTTCTTCAGACAAATTTCGTCTTTTAACTAATCATTTTGGCTCTTTTTCCTTTTCCCGCCGCCTCACACAAGCATCAATTTTATGGTGTGAGGGGTGGTTTTACAAGTTTGATTATGACGATCAAATATGTTTGTCATGGTCTAATTAGTCTGCATGTCAGTTTTCATGACAATTGGACAATGTGAACAGTAATTTGAATTATAAAAATTTGCATGTGGGGGGAAAGGAAAAAGAGTCGCCATTTTTGACGGGATTTTTAAATGATTATTCAAAAAGTATTGTTTTCCTGAGCTTAAATTTGGAAAGATATTTCAACTGTGATCATGTTTCGTAAGGTTATGGGGGTTTAAAAATTGCCTTTTTTGCCAATTTGGGACAATTAACGCGCGATATTTTTCGCGCTATTAACGCGTAAGTGGAGATTTAATCCGTCATAGAAATTGTTCCAAATTGGTTGAAGGAAGATTATTTGCCATAATTGATTTGTTACTAGGAGCGAAATTTATCACTTTGTACTTAATATGGCGTGTGGGGGATGATTTTTACAAAAAATCTCAAATTAATTGAAAAATTTTTATTTTATTTTTTGTTATAATTAATTTTTTCATGTTATTACTGCTCCATAGACTGCTTTATAAATTGAGGCATGTTAGTTGGTAAATTTATTTTTTTTTCAAATTGACTGGCACTGCTAATGAGTCATAATTGGGGTGCGTCACTTAAGAATTTTTGTTAACTCAAAGTTTTACTCATTCAATTTTTCCCAGTAGCGTTATCGGTCATATTTTTGCTTGTGTATGCGAAATGCAACTATGTAAAAGTTTACAGATAAAAATTGGAATCGTTTGGTAGAACACCATTAAGCCAGCCATGAATGAATTGCTGAAAAAAATATATAATTTCAGAATTTGAGAGAAAGAAATATACTGCCTAATTATACTACAGTCTAACGTCGTACGGGCCAAAAATTGGGTACTACTATGATACAGTGGTCCTTCTAAAAAGCAACTATGATAAACAGGTCCCGCATGCATTTCGCATGTTATAATTTTGATAACTAATTTATGTAGAAATTATTCATTTCAAAACTCTCGCGAAGTATGCTGTCAGAATTTTTTCAGATTAACAATTGTAATTACTATATAGTTTATATCATTAAATATGCTCGCTTCAAATTATTTTACGGTTAAAAGCAATAATTGGGTTAACTTATTTGTCATCAGAACTCAATTTTGGCTTTTTTATTTTGAATTGTCTCCCTTAAAAAGGTGAGGGGGAGGTGTTACGAAATCAAAAATAAAATATGTTTGAAAATAGAGTATATTGCGACATCTTTCTGAATGGCAAAATCATAGTTTTAATATGGCAAAATCATAAAATATTTGAGAGCTCTAGGTGTCTTATTCTCAAGGGACCTGGTTATTGTCAAGGGACCACTCTATCATAAGTAGTACGAAAAATTGACATCTTTTTCAGTTTATTAGAGCAGATTTCGCTTAATATGATTAATTATGTAAGTCATATGTTTATTTCGGTAGTTTTGCAGTTAATACAGCAACCTAATATATTCATCAATTATCATTTTTGAAACCGGTTAATTCCTTTTTTTGATTCGAAGGGTTCGTATCTCTTTAACTTTTTTCCATCTTTTGCAGAAGAATTAAATAGTACGCCTGAATCAGTATTCGCAATCTATGACTGTGATATCTATATTCTTTTTCAATATGCAGGGTTCTGAAGCTAGAGAGGCCTCTGGACGAAGAGGACCAAGAGGAGGAGAAGGTGAGAAGAGTGATGATGTCTTCTGAATATGGGTCCACTGCCCGGGCACAGCCACTCCCTCCCCCGGACCCTCCTGCAGCATCTGCTGTGAGTATTCACTTCTCAATCTAGTTACATCTAAAGAGTTAAGAAAATATTATGAGGCAGATTTCAGTTGTTCTCATGTTTTGAAATCTAAAATTTTAGACATAGCCTGTTCTTGAACCATGTTTCCCACGTAAAAAATGAAATTGAAAATTTTTTCAAGAGAAAAGTGGACAGTTTTAGATCCACTTAAACTTGTCCTTATCTCCCAAAAATAAAAAAGTATTTCGTAAGACAATCAGCGCAGCAAGACTATATAGCGCTCAAATAAATTTTTTGATAATTTAGTTAATTATGGTCCTCGTAAATTTCTTGTTTTAATCGTTCTAGATACCCTTCTTCGGCTAGAATATAGCTGTAGCCTTAAAGTAAGTAATGCAAACCAATTGCATATTTTTGAAGCATGTTTGTTTTGTGGTTTCCTGTTCATAAACACCTAATTTCAGTCCATCTTAACCCGATTGTTCATATCGAGCTGACGACATCAATCATATTTTTAAGATTCGATTAACGTGGTTCAGATTTTTATATAGGTCGCGATTATTTGTTTTTTTTTTACCAGGAAAAGTTTTAAAAATTTGTTCACGCTCAAATTAACTTTTCCCCGGTTTGAAGGAAGGAAGCTCTACTATCGCACAGCAAGAATCGACTTCAAATTTCGAAAATGGAATTTAATTTTCGGATTTTCCAGCGGAATAAAAACTTCACTTTTTCACCCAGTTTTCTCAAATTGAGTTAATTTTATCAAGAAGTGTCAGTTATAAGTTGTTCTAGAAATTCAAAGAGCTCAAAGACCATCTATTTTTTTTTTTGAAAATTTCAGCTTTTCAAAAAAAATAAGTCTGTGTTGGTTTTCTTTACTTGCGTTTATTGACCGTTTCCAACTGTTTGTTGGCTTGGCTCTGTTAACTGTAACGCCAATGTTCCGACCACTGAAAGGTTTTCGGGTGTGTTCTGGTTTTTTAAGTTTCTTTCTTTTCCACGCAGTACTTCCACAATCATCGGGATGGAGCGAGTGATATATCATATTGAAACCTTTCCGGCCATGATTTGAACGGTATTAAAAACTTCCAGAATGTTTTGTCTGTCGAGAAAAAATGGCTTGAAATTTATGATTTTGATTCTAATTGCGAGCCAATAAAGCGAGCAAGTAGACTTGTAAAAGAAAGATAAAGCAGCTGCTATTAATTTCCTCCATGCTGTACCGCCTTCTTGGGAAATCTTGATTGTTTCTATTCATTTTTCGAATGAAAACTGTTGTCAATTTTGTCTTATGTAATATGACTATCAAATATGCCCAACTTCTAGACTTTGCTTGAGATCCTCGCATCACACCAAGGACAAAAAACTACACAATTTGAAAAAGAAACTTTGTTTTATTTTTTTTTCAATGTCAATGAACGCAGTGAAGACTCTTATTTAGATATTGATATTTTTTTGTTTTCAGGGGAAAACTTTTTAAAAAATTGTCCCGCTAGAATTTGATTTTTCGTTATTTGAATTTTGATTTCAGTTCATTTAGATTTACTTCGTTAAAAGCAAGACAAATTCCACTATCGAACAGCAAAATTGTATAGACGTGATCGACTTCTAGTTTTGAAAGTGGATTTTAGTTTTCAGATTTCCAAGCGGAATAAGAAAGTTACTTATTGATCCAGCTTTTAAAAAAAATTGCCTATCATATTTTGTGCTTGAAATTCAAAGAACTTTAAGGCATTCTATTTTTTCTTTGAAATTCGGAAGTCAAGTTTTTTTCAGTTTCTTTTCCAACTGTATGTTAGCTGTTTTTTATGGTCAGAGATTTCTGTGCTACTTGTAAAGCAACCGGCTCTCCTTGGTCTTTTTTTCTTTTGGCAATTTGTCTTGGAGAGGGTCTGGATGGAATTGATCTAACTGTGTTTTCCAATAATTGTTCATATGGTTGCTCATTTTGAGAAATCAGGTCAGCTTAAAAGCTCATACCGAGATTCTTTTTCAGCCATCATCCGCAGAACCTTCATCTAAAAGTGCATCAGTTGTAGCGTCGACAGGAGTGACAACAACTCAGGGCAAAAGTAGTGCTGCAAATAATCAGGAACTGGGAGCTATTAATGAATCGAATGTGGAAGAAAATGCAGATGGGGGTGATGAGAAGAGAAAATCATATGAGTACGTGATGAGAAGTGACATGAACTCTGAACCAGGCCAAGGCACAGTTCCTCCTCCGCCACCTCCCACTGGTCAAGATCCGCGTGACGACCCCAAAAACGCGCAACGAAGTTCCGAGCAAAGAGAACTAGACAGGGAAGGTGGAATTGAGGAAGCATCTCCGCCCAATGAAAGCGGTGTTACTGCTAAATCAGAGCCCCATGTTGTGAGTGGCAACCGAAATTCGACAACAACTGAACCGAATGTTGTACCGAGACAGTCTTTAGATCAGAGATACAGTTTGACGTCATCGACGAAGAGTGCGGGTGGTGCTGCAGTACCTGGTGGAGGATCCCGCTCGGGTCGTCGGAAACGAAGCGACGTTCCGAGTATCAAATTGTCGGCGCAGAACTCGTTGGACCCGACAATTCCGAGTTCAGAGGGAAGAATCAATAGTCCGGATAAATTGTACCCAGATTATGAGCCGGAAGACGACTTTTGGGATGAAGAAGAAGAATTTGAGGATTACTCGAGCACGTCAGATAGTACAAAAGATCAAGTTGAAATACAGATTCAGAGAAATGATACGCAGAGCTCAAGTGAAAAATAAACTTAAGTTTCTTGTTCATATCTTGATTTTATTTGCTTCAATGGGATGAAGCGCCTTCTCGAGCAGCTAAAGTGTGGGTTCCATTTTTGCAATGCCGAGTATTGCTTTTTTTGTCTTTACACAAGCAAAGCTTGTGCTATAGTATGAACTATCTGTTTTTTTTTCAACCTAAGTGGCAAATATTGTTGCGACAAAATGTGTTCATTTTGATCAATAACCATCTATTAAGTACAGCCAATGCTAAGGATAATAACACAGACTATTATATTACAAATAGCACTTAAGCTTCAAGGTATCATGGATCTGTAGCGCGGAGGTAGGGAAGGACACCCACAATAAATTAAAGAGGGTTCGAATCTGGGATCGAATTTTTTTTTCAAATTGACTGGTACTGCTTATGCGTCATAATTGGCGTGCGTCACTTACGAAATTGTCGACTCAAAGTTTTACTAATTGAATTTTCCCCCAGAAGCGTTATCGGTCATATTTTTGCTTCTGTATGTGAAGTGCAACTTCGCCTCTGTGTTAAAGGTTTTATGTAGTTCTTAACAGTTTTAAAATCAAATTTATGATTAACTGTTTGGCTCATTTCTTAAAACACCAATGTTGAATGAAATTTGCAATCTTGAAATGAGTAAATTAAAGAAGATCAAAGTTTATGTAAATTGATTTCATTAGAGTCTCTATTTATGTTTTAAGTTAGAGTTAACCGCTAATTGTTAATTGTAAAATTTAAGTTCAGAACTTCTTTTTTTTAATGAGAACTACCGGCTCATTGTGGAATGCTCTATTCTGATTGGCTGAAAAATCGAACTCATAACCAAGTTAACATCCTCCCCCCTAAACGGATATGGGGGGGGGGGGCTAGGATGTTAACTTGGTCCGAATTGTTAAATAATGATTCTTCGGAGATGATTATCTCTGATATGTTCTGACATCGTCAGCTTTCGAGAAAATCTATGAAATATCACAGTAATCACTACTATTACCTGATTTCTCCTAAATATCTCTATTTTTAACATCGCGTTTCTCGATTTAATGGCGTTCTGATTGACTTGGAGAGGTCAATGTAAGATCAAGAAATGTTAAGGTCTTCATGTGGAAAATTTCAACTTGATTGCATCCGAATAGGTTTCGGAGAGAAAATTCTCCCTTGATTTTTTTCGTCAGAAATATATAGGAAATGAGTTAAGTTATATACGAATTTGCTATTGATTAGGTCATCTTGTTTATATTAGCGATATCTTTATCACTGCGATATTTAGAAATAACTGCATTTCAATTACAAATGTTTACACCAGTCGAGAATTGAGTGATGCTACGAGGCTACTTAATTTTTCCAAACTAAGTCGCGAATGAAAGTGGCATTTCATAGGCGGGAGGCTGAATTGTCTAGTCAATATCATGTGCATGGATATTTGATAAGGCCATGTAAAGTTTGTCTTGTTCCGCAAGTCGTGTAAAGCTTAGAGCCTCACCTCATTGTCGGAAGTTCAATATCGCGACCAAGAAAAAGCTACTGAATTTCGGAATCGACTGATGCAGCGGCTCATCAGACACCCCTGGAGGGTTACTCTGAGGTTATTCGCTTTTATAAAGTCACTCCGTCTCCATCAACTGTCAAAGAAGTCATCTCAATTGAATGCAGTTTCTTTGCGGCTGCAGTCAGTTGATGTTTACCGCACTGCTTGATATCGTCTGTTTCGTAACGTAAACCTTAGAGGCTTAGCAGATTTAAAACTCCTTTTAAGGCAAGTTTTTTTTTCTATAGAACTTAAGGTTTGTGAATAAATCACAAATTTTGAATTTCAATATCGATATTTTGAACGCACCCTAGGTTTCAGGTGGTAGGTTATATCCTCAATTTCCTGGAATTTTCTTCAGTACACAAGTGTTTAATAATTAATCCGACCTAAACAAATTTGATACTGGAGGTACATGTATACTTCTTGTGCTGACACTAGCAACATTTATTTGAGGTGATCTGCCAAAACTAGAATAAAGAAATTGAATAGCATTTTTGGTTGGTGAGTTAAATTAAAGCTGTTGGTGAAGTTCGACGCCTGGAAAAGTTTTATCGAATTCGTATTTTCCAAAACAGGCGGAATTTTTGTTGATTAAACTGCACGGCAAATTTTTTCTATCTGAAAAATATTTTTATCTTAAGCTCAAATTTAAAAAATTAATCCTGCTGTGATCTTTTTTTGTAATGTTGAAGGCGTTTGATAATTGCTACTTTGGCCAATTTGGTATAATTAAAGTGCGATATCTGGCGTACTTATAAAACGCGTAAGAAGCACAGTAAAACGTTCCAATTTCAAATTAGGCCAGCAGTTTAATCCTATTATTTTGCTGGCCTCAATTCTAATGCTGGTCTCGTACGCTGAAAACACCTTTAGTATTTTACATAGCTGTGGGTGGATAAAATGCTGAAATGCTGGCCTCAAGTGCGGTCGGTACTTTCAGGGCTTTGCACTGATATATGAGCAGTCTTGGTTGGGGTATAAGTTTTCTAAGTTTTCAACTAACAGATCTGCCAGGCCAGTTTCAGTTGACGTTTACAAATTGTATCGTTTTGTATTCAGTGCTTTATAATTGAATCAGTCCTAACCAACTTTTTGGTTTCGATCCAAATAAGTAGCGGGATTATACAGATATTGCCGTAAAATTAAAATTTTCAAAAATAGTTTTTTTGGTGTCAATCCACATATTTAGCGCAATTATACAGAGTCTGATAATGTTCATCTGGAAAAGACTATTAAGATGAGCTACCGCAGTAGCTGCCATAAGAATCAACAAGAATGCTTGCATCAGGCCGAAGACCTGAAGGTTCCGACTGCCTTTTAAAGTCTGGAGTATTGTTTGCTTTAGAAATAGTTGTTGCAGCTTTCAAAAATTCTTTCAAAAATACATTTTTCTCAGATCTCTGCGAAATTCATTCTCTTCTCACGCTATGCAAAGTGCAAAGTAATACAATCAGCATACAGCTAAGTATTGAATAGATCTAATAGCTTGCTTCAATTAAATCTCTGCTCACGCGTTAATAGCACAAAATATATATCACGCACAAAATATATTAGTTAACAGCACAAAATATAATTTGAAATTGGCCAAAATGGCGATTTTACATCGCTATAATTTTACGAAAAACGATCACAGGTAAAAATATCTTAATAAAGTTGAGCTCCTGGCAGCAAAATCTTTAGAGCAAAGAATAGAGCATTATATCTAAATTATCGAAAATTATTACGATATTTTTGATTGTGGTCAGCATGCATTAACGTATTTTTGAAATTAGGACAGATTTTCGAAATTTTAAAGTTTTTTGTTTGCACAAGTTTATATTTGTGTACTAAAAATTGAGTTCCAATATAGTTAATTGCAGTCCAATTTCATACACAAGTTTTTTCTTCTAAATTACATAAAAAAATTTTCTAAAACAAGTTGAATATTTAGAAAAAAAGCCCATTTTATGTTACACTCAATATATTAAAAAATAATAATAAGTAGTAGTTCGACGGGCTTATAATTTTTATTGAAGAAACGGTGTCAAATTTGTCTTTGCGATAAAAATCATACAACAGCTTTATTTTTTGATCTTGCTAAGCCAATTGCTCACTTATTTTGAACAAAACATTTTTTAGCAGAATTTTATTTTGAACAGAATTTTTCAATTCAAGCTCGCGATACATTTTTTAAATCAAATTAAAATTACTGGACAAACTGAAGACAAAATAGTTTGGGCTAGTGATTAGTCATGGTGTAGCTCGAGCTGACTGTGTTCATATTAACTTGCAACAATTTTAGGAACACATTATAACAAGTTTTCAAACTGTACAGCATGCGAATGGTACATCTTCATCTTTACTTTTTTTGCATCTTATCTATTTCTTTAAAAACTAACTTGCAAACATTTTAATTATTATGCCTGAATAGTTATATTTGTCCACACTAAAGATTCAGCAACGACTTCGGGGCGATATGAAAGACAAAAACATTGTTTTTTGTACGTATTTAGTAAGCGTCCAAAAAGAATGGCTGGCAGTTTTTGGTCATTGCTTTTATGACGACGCGAGTAATTTCATTAAATTGCCTCGTCTTGTTATTCCGATTTTCGAAGGGGTCATTTATGCTTGGGGTGTTTTTTAATCAGTCAATTTTTGGCGATCAAAACAATAGATTTTAGCAAACAACGTTGTTACCCCATTGAAGATATTGACTACCTGAAATCAAATTTGAAAAGATATATTACCTCCAATCATTTTTTGCCAAGTTCTGGGTACTTGAAAAGTGCCAATTTTGTAATACTCTGGATTAAGTTATGCGCGCTTTGAAGATTGTGTTCATAATGCTGAAAGCTTAACGCGAACTAATTATTCGTGGCGAATTATCGCGCACAACACAATTGTTCCAAATTGAATTGAGACTAGCTAAACTAATCGGTCGTATTAATTTCGTAACTTGAATTTTCACACTTGATCTTTGATATTGTCCAAAATTGAAGCCAGTCAGTCAATAAGCAGAATGGTCTAAAAACAGATGGATTCAAGTGCAAAAAAAAACGAACAAAAAATATTAATTTTATAAGCTAAGGATTTTCAAAATTACCAAAGATTTTGCATATTTTGACTAATTTAATCAAGATTTTTCAAAAAAAACTCAGTAAAAAAATTGATGAAATTATTCAATTCATGCATAGTTTATTCATTTTCTTGGTATTATTGACAATTCTAAAATTTGCGTTATCAATTAGCCCGTATAAATCAATAAAAGTAAACAAAATTTGAATTTTTCTGCTCTTGGAACCATTCTGCTTTTAGATTGTTCTGCTTATTGTTCCGCCTCCGTCCAAAATTACTAGTAGTTCTTTTCCCAAAAGTTAATCGACATAGATTAAGGGGCAGACAAATCATTCAGCGCTTTGCCCTGATATACGAGCAGTTTTGTTCAGTATTAGTCTTGTGCAAAAAAATAGGCCACTACAACTTAAATGGGACGAAAATTTGATAAAGTTATAGTGCGATATTTTTTGCACAATTGCAGAGAAAAATATTGCTAGTTTGAGTCAAATAAACTGGTCTACAAATTTGCATCGTGAGAAAAATGTTGATTGATTTTAGATCTGAAAATTTTATAACAAAAATTTGCCCGCTGAAAAGATTTGATCCGTTTTCTTGCTAAAGTGAGGAGGAAAAAATATAAAGTAATGGATAACATAAAAAAGTGACTACAGGGCGATTCTATGAACGCAATTGTCAGAATTTTTGGTGGTAGATTGAATTACCTCAAAATTTGAGGATGTTCAAAAAAGTTAAAGTATGCAATCCAAGTTAAAAACTTATTTAAAAAGTAAGTTGATTAAAAAGAAGTTACAGAAATTTTATTTGTGTAACCGGAACCTTCTGAAATACTTGAACAGCAATCGGCTGCCCTTGATCAGGTCATTACTTTAAAGCCTTGTAAATGGAGAAAACAATTGCAGCAAAGTTTCATGTGAAACACTCATAAATCTACTATTAAAATCAATTTGACATAAAACGTTTTCTTAATTAATTTTTCAGAATTTTCATCAGCCAATGTAGTGAATAGTTCTGTAAAATGTGGATGTGAATCTACAGACTTTTTTCATGAAAGCAAATTTATTGACTTGCTATTCCAGAAAATTTCGTTTTGTTTGTACATTTGGTTGATAACTATTTGCTAATATTATGTTTTTATTGAGACAAGGTGCCATTGCCTAGCTGTCAGTTTTGCTAACAATTTTCAGTTTGTGCCAGATGTCGCTGTCGGAGTGCAGAACTTGCAGATGTGGAAGAGGATGACCTCGTGGTCTGATGATGTTCGGACATCTACTTGGGAGCCCCCTTCGTACACGAGTGAAGAGCAAATGCCACTTGGGCAGTACTTCCAGTTTGCCTCTAAAAATTACAGTTGAGGATTAAGTTTTGTGTATCGAACTCAGGGGCGGATTTGGGCTCAATAAAGGGTCTTTTTAGTGATTCGGGAGAGCTCGGAAAAAAGTCGACAAGAGTTTGCCTCTGGTTGAACGCCAAGAAAAAAGGTAAAACAAATCTCGGCACCAGTGGGTTTAGGGACAAGGCGGGGGAGGGGGGGAAAGGGTTGGACGCTTCCTAACTTCAGAGATTCGACCCCCTCCCGACCCAAAAGGTGCCCCCTTTGTACTATTTTGAGATATATTCTTTTGGTGAGGTACCCTAAAATGTTTCTAAAGGTGTCTTTAGCGCCAAAATATACCAGTTTTGAGGGGGGAGTGCGCGCCGAAAAAACGCATTTTTTATGTCAAAAATTTCCAGAAAGTGCCTAAAAACACTTTATTTGGGCTTTTTTGCAAAAATTCGCCTGTTGCTCAGAAAATCCTAGATCCGCCCCTGAACCTCGGTAAATAGATCGATAAACCAACCGTATCAAGTTATTTCTCGTGAGTTTTTAGCTCTATGAGATACATGATGTCTAGATGAGGCATCTTTTTAGTTATAGATGACAAGCTTATGACATTGTCGGCTCACATTATATCTGGGGTTATCCGAAGAAATTGATGAAGGGTAGATTGATTATCTTCATTCTAAAGGTTTTAACAAGAGAAATGTAAATGCATTTACATTTATGTGGTAGGCTCCCTCTCTAGAGTAAAAATAATCAATCCAATATTACTATTACTTCGTCAATTTTTTCTTGGACCAACTGGAGGACCAATCGTACTCAAAAGTTGGGCTCATTTAGCCCCTTTCCATGAAAAACTGTTTGCATAAGTTTTGACCCGGGTGGCGTATTCTTACCTTGTGGCAAATAGACATTTCGATAATCAACTCCAGCTTCCAAAATAGGCGCGACTATATACTCTGAGCCCAATAAAAACTGGTCATTGCACAGAAACGCCTTCGGGTCTTCGGGGTAATCGAACCATAGAGGACGAAGAATAGGTTCCATTGGGGACGTCTGTGAATTTGCGAACTGAATTTGAGGTGCTAAGATTTGAGATCGGTAGCTTAGGATTGAGCGGAGTGGACTTGTGAGGGCTTGGGGGAGGAGAGAAAGGCAAGGAGAGTCGAAGACGAAAGACGGGAAGTGAACTGTCAGTTGAATCCATCTAAAGCAAATCTTTTTTTAATAATGCATATGATGCAATAACAGACTATCCGTAGAATGGACTGTTAACGCCTACTGAAAGCTTCTCGCAGTGATTCGCAGAAACCACAGTTATTTCTAAGAAACAATTTCAAAGTTGCGTGATCATAAATTTGAGATTGAATTTGAAATTGAGAACCAGAGTTAAAACTTTTACAAGGTAGGAATCTAAGAATCCCAAACCTGAGAAGTTTTGCTTAACATAATTTTAAAGCTCGCTCGTTTTCTTCAAAAACTTGCAGTAAGTACATTGCGCCCAAGTTTTTTTTGGAATTTTTGAAATTTTGGTTAGCGATAGACAGGGGCGGATCAAGGGTTTTCTGGCCGACTAGAATTTTTTAAGGCCCACCAGAATGATTTTTATAAAAACCGTATTTTGACAAAAAAATTCGCCGCATGCAAATTTTTGAAAAAAAGCGCGCGCCTTCTTGCAAAATTGGTATATATTGGCGCCAAAGGCACTTTTAAAAAATTTTAGAGTTGGTCAGCGGAAAATGGATGATAAAAAAATGGATTTGGAGTGAGAGGGTTTGTGAGAGGGTCGAATCGCAGAGGGGAAGGGCGTCCGAAGCCCTCCCCTTAATCGGCCCCTGGCCATAGGTGTATTATCAGTTGCTCTCACAGAACTATTTATGATGATACACTTATGGCTAACTGAATTTCCCGAGTTTCCCAATTATCAACAAAAAATTGCAGAAATCAAAACCAATTATAAAAAAAATCAGAAAGCTGACCGTTTGAATAGTTCCTGGTCGAATCCACTTGATTCAATCACTGGCGGAGGAGGTATGACGCACTTCTGTCCATTCAAGGCCATTGACACTATCTGGGGCACTAGACTGTTAAGAGCACTCCAGGTGAAGGGCAGGGGGGACATTAGAAGACAGGCATGGGTGGTGTTATGCTCGGGTACGGAAGTCAACAGGGAAAAATGCGGGGTCATGTTGGAATCGGTTATCATCCGTTTGACTTCAGAGGAGAACTTTTCGATCTGAAATGTTTATTTTTTATCAGAATTTGATACATTTTGACTACGATTTTGGATTTTGGATTATTGTGTCTCTTGCTTTGAAATTTAAACAGTGGGGTGATTTTTTTTGGGGATATGTAGATTTTTTTTTTGGGGGGGGGGGGGGGTAAATACTTTGTCTTCAGCTTCTTCGAGGATATTGAATGCCCTTAAATGTGAAATGTGTTGTATACCTGTGTACCTCCTGTGGGGTACGGATTTTTGGTAAAAACCTTCGGCTCTTTCAATAAGTGCCCATAAATTATCGTTTGTGGCACGGCTCTTTTGGCACTTAAATTTTTCGGCTTAAAAACTTCTGAAAGTCCCCCCCCCATTTGCCGAGAAAATCCTAGATCTGCGCCTGTAACTCACCATTTGGTAGGGGTAACTCAGTGGCTGTTTGGTGGTGAAGTGAACAGGCAATTTACTGATTGAGTCCCCATTAACCACCACTCCGTCTGCTGACAAAAATGCAGTTGCATTTAGCAGAAGTTGTTCATACCACTGCATTGCCATCTCATTAGTGACGTCAACCACACTTTTCACACTGTCTTGCAGAACACTGAGAGCAGGCGCGTTTCCGTTCTCGTCCCGTAGCCAATAGTTGTTGTTCGTCCCTAAAGCCATAAACATTACAACCAAAAAGTAAAGACACGCAAAAAAGCGTTTTCAGTGGTTCCAGAGTTCTGCAAGTTTTCAGAGTCCAAAAACAACCGTATAAAAGTCTTGGTTGGGTGGCATTTTGCAACATGCACAAATTCGTATCGAGGTTTTGGTCAGTTGCGATCTTTGTTGATCAAGAATCATCAGCGGTTAACGACCAAGGGAAACCTCACATGTTTGCATTTGCCGCTTGAATAGATTTCCAGCCTCAAATAAAGCTTTTACTTTGGGTTTTATCGACAAATGGCCTTGTCAGGAACTATCAGGATTATTTTTTTTGATGGGATAAGCTATTGTGACCGAGCGACTAAGAGGTTTGCCCCCAAACACTGGGGGTCGATCCCTAGATGAACGCTTTTGTATTTCTCGTGCAAGCCAGAAAAAGTTCTAAAAACACAAAACACCACATCTATGTACGTTATGTTTGAAAAATACCAAAAAACAAATAAAACAACAAATTAAGCGTCAACACAACCTGTTATGAAATGCGAGTTTGTGACTGAAAAATAAGGAGAAACTTCCAAATAGAATTTCACATCCGCCCTCTGCTCCCCCGCCGTCCCCACCCTCTCGGCTACTTGGGGAGACAGTTGGTCCAGCTGGTCTGGAAACAGCCCTTCAACCAACACTACATTCAGTCGGTTGCCCAGTGTGCTGTTGTTCGAGATTGTGCAGTTCAGCATGTCTTCGAGAGTGTCGAGCGAACTAAAAACGCTTTTTTTTTGCTCAGAAAAAAAAATAACTTCATGAGGAAAATGATGAGGAAATGAATTTTTCATCCAAAGTGTCGAAAAATGGAAATTATCAATTAAGAATTGGTTGCTAGTTGAGCCAAAAATTTTTAAAAAAAAAAAGAAATTTAATTAGCAAAAAAACTAAAGTTGATAAACTTAAGTACAACTTAATAAATTGGGCTTACGCATTTAAAATTTTGTGAGGAAAAAGTTAACAACATTTCTAAAAAAAAACAAATGCTCACTTCGGTTGTAGCGGGTTCCAACGCCAGAAAATAGTCTCAGTCGCAGTTGATACCATCTCATTTGTCCCCAGTGAAACCCCCACCCCTTGCCCACCACCCCTCTGTGAAGTAATAGTCTTCAAGAAATACTCTTTGGTCATCGTGAGAGTAGAGTGGGGATTAGTTGACGTGCAGACAGAGTATTGCATGTGAGATAGGTTCTCTTCCGAGTAGGCGGTGGGGGAGGGAGATGAGGGGGAGTGAGATATTCGACCACGTGACCCCTGGAAGTCGATGCAGAGGTTGTCGCCTTCAGACACCAGAGCTGAGAACAAGTCAAGATTTGAATGTGGAAAAACAATCAAGAGGTTTAATTATAACTTGAATATTTTAATCAAAAAACAATCTGAACTTTTGTTTTATTCACGATTTTTGCCTAGATCAATTTCGCTCAACTTCAATTTCTTCCCATTAATTACCTAAATAGAAAAATATATTTGTCAAAACCGGCCAAAAGCTGTTATAAAAAAATGTTAGAAAATCTTACTGATAGGGTGTTGTATAGTTGTCGATATGAGAAACGCCCCCTCGCTGGTCATCATAATCACCCTCTCGTTCACACTTCTTGAAAAGGTGACGCCCCCTCCCCCCAATACATAGCCACTCTGAGGCGTGCTCTCGTTGAACTCAATATCGGACAGTATTAAGTTCTGGGTGGGTGTGGTTTGTAGGTTTGAAATGAAGGGGGGAGGAGTTTTGAAACAGTCTCTAACGTGTGCGTCAGGGGCACTGAAGTCCCATTGGAAGTTGTAGCAGTGCAGGCCCGCGCTAGGGCTTGAGTAATCCACTGAAACATCATGTGTGGTTTAGATTTTTGATAATCATTCGTGGTTTATTTCTCGAAAATCATTCGCGTGGGCAATTTGTAGCCTGACTTCAGAACTGGTTGAAAGTTGTTTTTTTTTTTGGAAATTTTCTTTACTATTTGTGAAATCTTTAAAAAAAACTCAAAAAAACTTGAAACTTTTTTTCTTCAAGAAAACTTCAAAAAAAAAATATATATTTATACAAAAAAAAAAAACGTTTTTGAAAATATAATGAAAAAAAAACGCTTTTAAAAAACTCCAAATATATTGTGCTATCTTTTCTTATATTTCACTCACTGATCAATCTGGCATAGTTGATCCAGGAGAGACACACCTGGTCCACCCCTCTCCTCATTTGCCAGCAGTTGGACACGCCCCCTGCTGCACCTGTGGCACCCTGGCCCAACCGCATGTTCAAGGACGATGCACCAACAACCCCACTGTCCACCCACACATTCAGAGTCTGTAATAGAACTTAGACTATATAAATAAGAAAGAAAGACAGTAATATTCGATTTCACAAACAATGAACAATGGATAGAAGATGTTTGCAAGTTTCCGCTATCAATCAAAACTACCACTCTTAAAATTTTCAGCACCACTAATTGTATTTACGAAAAGCAGACAAAAAGTTGTTTCAAATTAATGGAAAACCCTGATAATCCTTTATTCCCCTAAAAGATTGTTCGAGTTTTCAATAAATTTGAAACCAATTTTTGCTGGTTTTCGTTAAAAATTATAGACCTAAAAAACCTAAAAACGAAAGTTTTGACTCTGTGCTATGGTAAAAATTTATGTGGAAATCAAAGCCGTAGATTTTATTTTTGCGACAAATTTACAAAATATTGCAATTTTTTTGATTGGCGTGGTTCTGTGATCCAGATTAATTTTGGTAACCCAAATAACAGTTTGTACGGCATTTTCGTACCACAAGAAAGGGTTGAGTTGGTGGCAGCCACTATTCTGTGCGGTATTTTTTTTACTCTCCCCTTTTTGTGCTGCTCTTAAGGCTGTCTCATTCGCTCCACAATTGCAAGAATTCCCAATTGTAATTTATTACCGATAAAACAAGCCCAAATACAGATGGCTCTAAGTGGTAGAAATATAATCCAATAATCTTATCTTTGGAAACGGTCCGCAATTTTTCAGCACGCTTCACACAACTACTGAGTTTACTCAGTAATTTTACACAACTACTCAGCTCGACTTGTTAAATTTACTAGTGTCGCTCCGGATCACTATTCCTTTGAGCTGCTTCAACTGATCTCAGCTCTGATGAAAATCACTGTTCTCAACTGTGATGAGAACCAACTACTCGACTTTATAGCACATAATCGTTCTCTAATTAATTGATAACAAACCATACTATAACCCTGAAACAAACCATACTAAAACTCAGTACCAATTGTTCTCGCTAAGGGTAGGCTTTTTGATATTCTTTTTTTTAAAAATAAGTTTAGTTAGAAATCTCATCGTCCCTACAATTCCTGATTTTTGATTTGGTACTCTTTACACAAAGTTCTCATTATTTTCCATCGGGTTTATCACTGGCGACACTAATCCTGACTTCTAAGTTAATTATAGGTACCTTTAAGTAAGTTGTGCAATTATCATGTCCAATTCCACCTCGAAACCAAGTTTTTTTTCAGCCAATCTACCCATGTTTTTATAAAATCATTCCAGATTTTTTCATTCATCCCATGGTCACGGGGGAATGCCGTTCAAGGGAAAAATACCTGTCTGTAACGTTCCCAAAATCGACTAAGTGACTTATTCTAATTCCAACTTTCTAGTTGCTCTCCTTGGGGTCCAAATGAGTCAATAAACTACCACACGGAACCTGAAAGTATCCAATCCCAACAAAATATTGTGAAGTCCTAATGCCGATTTTCTGTGTATGAGTAAGCTAATTATACTGCGACTACTTTTCTGTGGTCTATTCGTAGTTCTATTAATAGCACATTGATCAAGCTAAACTGGACTCAATGTTTGCTCAGCCAGTCATTGAAAGTCATTTAAAGGGCACCTGGGATTACCCGGAATTGTTCTTCCGTATTCGAGTTTAGAGTCCCATAGGAGTGCTACCAAGTTTTATCCATATCTCATTAATACTTACGTATTTATCCCATTTTTAAGTCCGTTATCGTTTTTCCCGTGGTAGGGCTATCAACGCCGGAAGGGGTCGTCCAAGGAGTTCGGGTCACTGGGTTTTTTCTTGGGGCGAGGTCTATTGTCTTTTATCACCATAAAATTCATATGCCCATGCTCATTATTTTGCGTTAATTGCCAATTTCCAAACTAAGGCATATTTTGCCCGATTGCTCAATAACTTCCGGTCCAGCCGTTAGATTTGGTTCAATCTTTGTCCTACGAGCTATCATGCTTTTTCTATCTTTTCTCAAACTTTTGGCTCCTTGCGCTTGGTTGGGGGTCGAGAAACTGAGTCGTGGATGGGGATTATTTTCTTAGAGCATTTGTCAGTGCTTTGTACCTGGAACTTTTTTCTCCTGGTATACTAAGATTGCTTGTGTTCTTTAACAGAGCGATAAGGATGATTGGCATTAAAATTTTGGAAAATCGTCCACTGTGCAAACGGGGAACTTGAAAGTTTTTTATACCCCAACTTAATAAATCAGCAATAAGTAAATTTTTTGAGATCTCGTGATCTTGTGACCTCCTAAAAAGATGACTTCGCACACGTGCTTTACAAGGGTTATGAAACCGCTCGGTGGTGAAACTTATAGCCTATCTTAACCTATGGGCAACAAGTGGATTTTCCTAGATCTCAGGAAGTTGTTGCCTCCTAGTGGGACGACTTCTTGCAGCTCCGTTCTAGTGCTATGTAGCATCCTGTGAGGGTCGAGTATGTTGCTTCACGATAATGACATTAAAACCTGAATTTTCTCTAATTTTTGACTTTCCCGATTCGTTCACTTTAAGCTAATAATCACTCAACTGGGTCATTAAGCTATCGTTCTACAATCCGAATTCTCTTTAATCGCAAGGTGATGATGTGTACGGTGAATTTGCAATTTGTCAAAATTACCCTAGAATCACCAATTTTACATATTCTATGCCAGTAATTAAAACAACCAATATCCTCAAATTGCATCGTACTATAGGTGGTTTTTCACCTACTCATCCAGGGGCGGATTTGGGCGAGGGAGAGGAAGAGGTGCGGTTACACCACTCTTATCAGGGATTCGACGCCATCGCCAACCTTCGGCGCCAATCTATACTCGTTTTGAAGGGGAGCGCGCTCCGAATCACTGCAAGTTTTGGTCAAAATTTTTCAAAATGTTTCCAAAATTTTGTCAAAATAGGATCTTTTCAGTGTTCTAGCAGTGCTCGAAAAAATTAATTTGGCCTACTTAAAAGAAACAAGAGGCCGAAAAAAAATTTCGAAAGGTTTTTGAAAATCCGCTACTCTCGAGAAACCATAAATCCGCCCCTGAACTCATCAATAATTCTCCACACCTAAATTCAGTTTATTGTTGTTCCACTTGTTTACCACTTCACGACTTTGGAAGAAACTATGCGATAGGCATAGTTAGTTTCCTCATTTTTCATTATACCGTAGATGGAAAAATTGATCAGATCACAGAAAAAAAATCAAAAAAAGTGTCTCAGTAGCGAGAAGAAATTGTCTAAAAACTTTCTCCTAAAAACGCTTTTTACTAAAAAAATAACTGAAATTTAAACCACAAAAGAATTTTTTGATATTTAAAATACATTTCACTTTGAAATTAGTTTGGAATTATTGCTGGATTTTTTGTGCTACTCAAATTTTAGATGGCTCTCCTTGTTATAAAGGTAATTATTTCAAAAATGCATATTTCAAGAAATTAGGGTTTTCTATGTTGCAAATACTCGAACTTCATCTTACTTCTGAGATCTTCAAGCTTTTTCGACGTTTCAGGTTTTTCACTTACGTCCAAATCGATGGTGGCGTACCCGGTTTTCTCTTGGAAAGTGTTTGCTTTGTCCAACTCGAATATCAGTATAGTGGCCCCAACAATGATCACCGCTTGCAAACTTGCTACTATTGCGATCGGGATCTTGTTCGGACTCTTCTTGAAGTAATCTCGCAAACTTTCAAGACATCCGGGCTTCTTTTTTGAACTCATTTTACGATCGCAACAAATTACAATTTCCAGAGCAAATCAGTATTTAAATCTGGTAACGAGCAAAAAAAATTGGAACAAAAACCAATAACTCGTATTTCGGTTGTATAAAGAAAAGTAAACAAATGGATGTGTAATTTTAATTTTAAAAAATGGAAGAATTTTGAGAGTAAACGAGTCCGAAATTGTAATCAAAAGTGATTTTCAACGAAACTCAAAAATTGGAGCCATTGGTACAGTGCAATTAAAGGACTTACGTTTGATATTGTGTTCCAATCAAACGGCTCTAATTGGTGGATATTTACCTGTTGTATCATGTTTGTTTGTTGTATCAATTCGAGTGACTCAATTTCTTAATTGCTCTAATTGCAGTTCAAACTTGAAGTGACCGCCCAAATCAGAAGAATTTAGGCTAGCATTAATTTCAAACAAGTTGATCAAAATAAATCGCTGAAAGAATTTTAAGCTCAAGGAGTTTGATGGGATCTTTCAAAAAAGCTATAATTGACATTGTAATTACTCTGCATAATTGATGACACATATGTTACTAGGCTTGGATTCTTTTGATCTTTGGAGTCACGACAGGGGTGGATTTAGTAGTGGGGGGGGGGGGGGGGTCAGGGATTTGACTCTATGCCGATATGCCGACCCAAAGGGTGACCCCTTTTCACTATTTTGAAATATCCGTTTTTGGCTGACTGACCCTAAAATATTTTGTAAAGGCGCCTTCGGAGCCAAAGTATACTAAAACTGAAGGGAGGGGAGAGCGCGCGCCATAAAAACGCAATTTTTTGCTCAAAATTTTCCAACAAGTGCCTAAAAACACCTTTTTCGGCCTGTTTTTCTTTCAAAATTTTGCTTGCGGCGCAAAAATTTTGGCTAAAACAAGGTCTTTGTAGTGGTTGGGGAGAGCCCAGAAAATCAATATGGTCGACCTAAAAAAAAGGTTGACAAAAACTTCGAAACTGTTTTAAAAATTCCGCCGCCCTCGAGAAAATCCTAAATCCGCCCTTGAGTCACGATATTAGAACTAGAACAAGGTGGCCGGTCAATGAGCAGAAAGGTCTAAGAGCGCAAATGGTCTAAAGAGCAGAAAAACAGACAAATATTGAATTATCAGGGCTAATCGATTAAACAAGCATTAGAATTGTCATTACTAGCAATGAAACGAATAAATTATTCATAAATTGAGTATTTTCATCTATTTTTTTCCAGTGAATCAGAAAAACTTTACTGAAATTACTCAATTTATGATTTTCTTTCATTACATTATTTTTCTTGACTATTCTATTACTTGTTTCACCAATTAACCTTTTTGCAGCTCTAGACCATTCTGTTTATTGCTTCGCTTCCCTAGAACAACTATAGGACCAAGTTAACATTCTCAACACCCAACCCCCCCCCCCCCCCGCCCCCAAGAGCCGTTTGGGGGGGGGGGGGGAGGGAGGATGTTAACTTGGTTCTAAGTTAAGTATTTTCAGCCAATCAGAATCGAGCATTTTACGTGTAGCGCTTAGCAAATTTAATGCTAATTAAATGCTGGGGTGGAAGATCTTAACTTGGGCTATCTGGGGGGGGGGGGGGGGGGGGGGGGGGGTGTTAGCTTGATCCCAATTATAAATAAACTGTTTCGAAAACACATCAAACCATTTTAAAAGAAGAATCGTTATGTTGAAAAGCGATCTTTTTCAGCCAATCAGAATTCAGTCAAGTCTTAAGTGTTGAATTAAAGACGAAAAATGTAAGAGGATAAATTTGGATATTCGTGAGCTCAAATTTGAAAAGATTTCTTATCTTCAAATATTTTTTCTAAAGATCTGAGGATTTGAAATTTGCCAATTTGCCCATGCGCTGGAACAATTTATCCATTTTGTGAAAATTTTACGCCCAATGCTGAAAGCGTAATGAGGAGATTCATTGCTTTTTTGCGTGGAGAATTATCCCGCTCTACAAAAGTATTCCAAATTGAATTGAGGATAGCTAATTGGTCGTTTAATTTCGTACTTCTCATACTTTTACACTTGAAGTTTGATATTGTCCAAAATTTGTGTGTACTTAAACATTTTTTAGTAACAAGTATGCTATACCATTAAAGGGCAGTTGGAACATTCAGGGCTTTGCCTTGATAAACGAACCCTCTTGGGTTTACTGCGTAGTTTGCTATTAACTTTTTGGGCATGATCGTTCTAGAGGGGAAACAATTCACATGCATCATTTTGATTATTTGCTTTCTCCTTCGATATCTTCAACTTTGGTAACCAGCATGCACATGTTTATTGGATTAGTTGGTTTTCCATTCGTTTCCAATGAGATTGTGATCCCATTTTTTGCTCCAACGATTTGAATTAAATTTGAAATTTGTATTCGGCTGTTTCAATTTTTTTTTCTTGCAAAAATCGGTGAAACAAGTAATCATTGGAATGCGTCGGATGATTTATCCAAATATAGTTGTTTCAATCATACTTCGAACGATATTAAGTTTTAAAAACGTCAATAAAAACCGGTTTGAATTTTTTGAAATTTTCTTGCCATAGAATAGGCTGATGAAATTTTTTTTCGTAAGCTTCCAGCAAAGCCATGAAAATAATTTTAAACTTCAATAAACTTTATTTTCGAAGTTTTTAGTACCTATCCAGAAAACACGAAAAAATAATCTCCAGAAGTTATCTAGAAATATCTTTCATTCAGATTATCTTGTCACACCACGAGAAAAAATGGCAGCATTTTAAAAAGAAGAAATTGTTTTTATTTTTAGTTTGTAAACTACTTTTTTGCAACTTTCTGTGCTACTTGCGCAGCAACTGCCTATTTTTGGTCATAACTAATTTGTAATCATTTTTTTTGTTTGTGTGCAAAATTTGCAACAAAATTATCTCAAAAATGATCGCCCAGAATTATTTTTCAAGCGCAACATGGAATTCAGAAAATTATCATTCACAAAATTTGGAAGTTTTAAGGAAACCTAGCCTGAACTTTCGTTGCACATCGGGAAAATGAACAATCAATACAAACCCTTGGGTCTGATTCAAGCATAATAAGTTCTTACTATAGTCCTATTTGAAGCTTGTTATCATTCGACTCTAAAGAAGGTGAAAAAATTTTGAAGAACCTGAAAACAGCCTCGTCGGCTTGTCCACACTTGTTGTTCTGATTAATTTTCTTGATCTGACAACAAAAAATTTTTGCACTGTTTTTTTACCCTCAAAATTTATTATAAGGTATAAGATTAGAAAAGATGTAACTGTTCGGACCACATGAAGTGAGGAGGAAATATGCTTTAGGTGTCTTAGTTTTTTTTTCTGTTTTTTCCTTTTTAAAGCAAAATCAGAACTCACAAAAATTATTGGATTAATATAACCTAAGAAATATCCCCTAAAAAACCACTTGCTATCAAATCGACCTAAGATGCTTTACTGTTAAAGTTTTTGGGTTTTATTCAAATTCTTTTAGCATACTACAAAAAAACAGAAAAACGTGAAAAAAAAACATTATGTTTTTCTGATTGCTTTTTTTAATTAATTTTTTCTAAATGGAGAAAACTGGGTCAACATTTTTGATTTTTATTTTGATTAGTAATCTGAAAAAAGAGCCATTTTCATTTTAAAAAAACTTTTATAGCCAGCAGACAGTTGAAAAAAATATATATAGCCAACTGTCAGTTGGAAAAGAGTAATGAACGCAAGTAAACAGGAAAAAAAAACGTACTTTGTTGAAAAAATCTCAACTTTCGAATTCCAAAGAGAAAATAGATTCCCGTTAGCCAAAATTTTTGGAACAATTTGCGCTCTCTTGATAGCCCTAACCTAACTAGAGAAAACTGGATCAATTGTTAAAGTTTTTGTTCCGCTGGAATTCTAAAACTTTAATTCCACTTTCGAAACTAGAAATTGTTCCTTTTTTTGCGCCAATTCCACGTTTGTATTCGGAGAGTGCTAATTACATAACTTTCAGCAGATGAACTTCAATTGAACTCAAAAAGTGCATATATACCTAAGTACTCTCATAAATGGATTTATATGCATGAATGCACATCTGTAGTTGTTAGAGCATTTTAAGACTTTTTCCTGAACAAAAATTACTGAGACCTATATAAGAGTCTTCACTACGTTCATTTCTCTCCAGATTCAAAATAAACAAAAATGTGCATTAAGATTTTAGTCTGCTGGATATTTAAAGCTATATTAGCTATTAATTAGCAATTTGTGCAATTGCTCACCTCTTTCGGTCACTTTTTCTGCATAAAGGAATCATAAGAAAAATGAAAGTTTCGTCTTTTAGTTTTCTAAACTGGTTCGAAACATTCTGTGCTACTTTCGCAGCAAACGGCGGTTTTTGTTATAGTTATAATTTGCTTCACAAAATGGTAAAAGAAAACTTCTACGCACTACCATCATATCTATTTCATTAACATAATTCAATTATTACAAAATGAAAGGCAATTACGTCCAGGCAAAAAATTAGCTACAAATACAACCCTAAAAAGGCAGCTAAAGTTAAGTGATTTTTTCATTGTCTGTGGTTTTTCCAAATTCCAAAACATGGTATAATTTTTACACGATATAATCTATAACTTTGGATCAATTTCTATTCACAAAGGCCTCAAGATATGATTTTTATTTCTCAGAGTAGACTTTGTTTTTGCATGGCTCTTCGAAACTCATGTTTCTGTCTCAATGTTTTTTCTGTCCGAATCATCGTGAGTCTTCATCTCGATTGCTTCGTCCTGTTGATTTTTCTGCAGATTGAGATTCATCTGTTTGAGAGCCTTTCGCAGCTGTCTTTTCTGAGCTAAGATTGTGTAGCCAGACTGGAGACAGATGGCGCCAACTATGATTGTTGCTCCAATCAGAGATGACGTTAGTATACTTTCTCCAAGATAAAGCACCTGTGAGGGAAAAAAGTACAATGTTATCTCCCAACAGCCAAACAAGCCCAAAAACTATTCTGCTTTCAGATCTCTGTTCAATTACTATATACTATAGTTGAATGCTAGATGTCTATCCTTTGCCATTGCTACTTTTTGACATGATTTCAAATCAACTTCTAGAGTTTAAAAAGATATCTCAGAACCTGAAAACGAGTTTTGTTTTAAAAAGCATACAAAAAACTGTCCTACAAAAATCATCATATTTTAGGAGCGGATTTTATTCTAACTCGGCACTTCCAAGAATTGCATGCGGCGCTAAAACCGCTGCCAAAAATGGTGATTCTGGGTAATAGCAGAGCTGGAAAAGTTTAAACCTAAAAAACGGACGGGGAAACTTTCAAAAACCCGTCCCCGTGAGAAAATCCTAAATTCGCCCTTGATTTGCATAGCAAACAGCCTTGTACATTCGAACAGTGTACCTGCGCGATGTATCCGATTGGGATGACGACCAGTCGGACTATAAGGGAGAAGAGGGGCGAGCTCTGTTGGCTGGAGACGACAGCTGCAAAGTGGCCACTGCACTGACTCAGTCCGAAAGAGAACACCAGCAACTTGGCCACCACTCCACACGGAACCAAACTGCTGATGGTATCTATTAAAAACAAACGATTTACTTTGAAAGATAAAAAAGATACAGTTAAAATTATACATGTTGCTCTCGCTGGTGACAAAACGTCAGGAAAAAGGGAGCAAAAGACGAGAATGAGCTGATAAAAAAGTGGTATTGGATATAGAGGGTATCGGTCTTTAGTATGATGACCCACGACTGTTGCAGTAGAACTAATTTTGTAGACCTAACCACCAGCGGATTTAGCCCTCCTCAGGGATTCGACCCCCTGCCGATCCAAAGGGTCCCCTCGCTGTAATATTTCAAGATATCCATTTTTGGCTTACTGACCCTAAAATTTTTCTAAAGCGTTGTCGGCGCCAAGATATACTAATTTTGAGGGGGGATTGCGCCAAGAAACAACGCGATTGTTTGATCAACATTTTCCCAAGTGCCTTAAAACGCCTTTTTTTTGGCCTTTTTTTGAAAAATTCGCGTGCGGCGCAGAAAATTTGATCAAAATAGGGTTTTTATAATGATTTAGTAGAGCTCAGAAAATCAAATAGGTTAACCTAAAAAAAAGGTCGACAAAATTTTCAAAATTTTTTTGAAAATCCACCCCCTCGAGAAAATCCGCCCCTGTACAACAACATGAAACAACTTTCGGATAGGAAAATTTTCGGATCTCTCTAAATAATTTTAACAGGAAAATTTTGAAGAACTCGGATCCCACCTAAGGCTAAAAGAGGGGGGGGGGACGTGGGACTCACTTGCTAGGTTGCAATATTTATATATGCTTCACCGTTGAGTTATTCTTTAGCAGAGGTGGCTAGTATTTATAAGGTACTATAGGGGGGGGGGATATGTTTGCAAAAATCCGAGGTGCTGTCAAAACCAACCTCTATTCGTCACGCACACAATGTTACCTGATATGTCTGCGTATAAATGCAAGGCAGTGCAGGGGATTAGGAGTACAGCTCCCATGCAGCCCACGTGGAATGTCTCCGACAGGTGGGGCAGTCTGGCCAGCAGTAGATAGTACACATTACCACACAGAGACGCCACCCCACACAATAGAGTACCTAAAAACAGTCGCCCTTTTGTTTTCGGACACCTTAAGCCTAAAACTAAAATGCACTTTAGAGTTTGAAGATTGCCTATTAGATAATCCAGATCGAATTTCGAGTCGCCATTTCCAGAAACAGCATGCGACGATGAGTCCAGATACTGGTATACGATCGGAGGCTTGGCAACCAGGAAAACCCCAAATAGAATCAGAACTGATGATATGATTGAAACGACTGAAGGACGCCGAGAGAGGGCAATGAACTCTCCCACTATCATGCCGAACAGTTGCAGTCCATTGGCTGAAACAACATTCGATGAGTTGCTATCATTTTTAAGTCGCAAACAACTATTCAAAGGATTCACTGCACATAAGGAAATGATATCTTTCAACTAACTCCGATATGTTATCTCAGGCGAGGATCAATTAGTTAGTGTGCAGCCCTGAACTCACCTGAGTGAAATTAAATTTATAGGTAAAACTTCTTGAAAATAAGAACATTACTTTGATTCATCTGTTCGAAAAAACGTATTTAATAACAACCAATTTAACACCTTACATTTTACAACCTAGTCATTTCACTACTAAACAATATAAATCCCCAACAATTTATCATCAACTTTATAAATTAACACCAAAGCTAATGCTGTATAAACTCTTTTTCTCTAATAGAGAAAAAGGACAAAAGATGCTGCCAGAACTTGAAAAAGTGGACGCAATCTGCTGGTATATCAAAACACCAAACCTGTGAAATTTTTTCTAATTTATCATAAAAATTTTGTCGTGGGACATACAAACAAGCAGAAAGCAATTTAATATAGATATATCGGTCAATTTTTTGAATTTCATAACCTTGTAGCTTTAGCGAAAGAAACCTTCTACGATATCACTCAAGCCTTGCAAAAATTTATCTGAAAAATACTTTATTTTATTTTTCAAGTGAACAAGTATCCAACGTTTAAAGTTCTTAGCTGAGGAAACTGTTGAACACTCGGAGCTCTATATGCATTTGTTGTTCCTGTTCCGACCATTGAAAAATGAGGAAGAATTTCGAATTCAGGTGTGTTTTAGTATTTTTGTTCCGACCATTTGAAAATGTGGAGGAGTTTTGAATTCGGGTATGCGTTTTTGTTCTTTTTTTTTCTTTTTGTTTTCCGTGCTAAATCAAGTACCTCAAAAAATCATTGAAATGGATCGAAATATAGACCATATTGCGCTTGCATTCGTGATTCGAACTACAAAATTTTCTCAGTTTCGAGCAAAAACCGGTTAGAAATTTTTGATTTCATTTCGTGCTATTAGGGTTTTTCAAAATAAGGTGTGCAGGCTCACGATAGCTTATTTAAGCTTAGTTTAAGCCTTGAACACGTAGTTTTACTCAAGTAAAATTAGTTTTTGATTTTTTAAGTACTCTCTTGGGAAACAAAAAACTTCAAAAATTCAAATAATTTCGACAAAAAAATTCGTAAACTTCTTACGATTATTTTTGCGTGTCAAGCCATTTTTGTCAGAGAATTTTTTATAAATGGCGTAATTTTTTTTTTCGTTCAGATCTAACTATCACACTACACAAAAAAAAACAATATCCTTGGTTTTCTCTTTCTTTTATTTCCACGAAAATTCAGGTATCATAATAATCGGAATGGGTCGAGTGAGAGTGACATACCAAATTGAAACAATTTCAGACGTACTTTGATCTATGGTCGGAAAACTTGTGGTATACGCACAGCAATCAACTATCTTTGTTTGTCTCAAAAATTAAAAATCAATTATCAAGAAAAAACGATTGTTGCAATATCAGAGCGGGTTGGCTTTTAAAGTGTAAGGATTATTCTAATATCGTTTTAGTGTACTTAAAACACATAGAATAGCAGTCTCTGAACTAGCAGTTTCAGACAGTTTTTTCGTTCAATTTTCGTTTTATCAAAACGTTCCGAGCTTGAACTATTAGTTAAACTGATTACCTTTAAACTTCTAGATCTTTCATCTGGGAAAAAAATCAAGTTTTTATATCGGCAGTTTGCTTGAGAAAATGAATTATTGATTTGTTCGTTCACAGTTTTTTTTGAAATTTTTTTTTATTTATTCTTACTCGGAACTCAGAGACTATTACACAAAATTAAGCGCAAAATCAGGAGTTTACTCTCTAAAATGCCTGTTTTCAATGTCCATTTTGGACAACATTTCCTTCGAACTTCAACAAAATTTTTACATGAACCAAGAGAAACTGATCAGGGCTACCCTCTATGAAACTATCAATCTTTGGTTCCATGGGCTTAACAATGTAATCCGGACCTGAAAATGACAGTTTTCCTCGTCTGCACTATTGTTTTTTATTCGCGTGAAAAAAGAGGAAAAAGCCAAGTTTAAGAAAGTTTTCGTTTTGATTTTTTCAATTTTCTCGCTGAGAATGTTACACGTCGCATAAATATTTTGTTACTTTGCTTATTCGAGAAAGTTCGCTCTTATGCAAAACTCATTGCAGATGAGGAAAACTGGCATTTTAGACCCGAGTTACATTGGTAAGTCAGTGAAACCAAATATTGATAGTTTCATAGAGGATAGCCCGGATCATTTGCTCTTGGTCTAGGTAAAGATTGTGTAAAATTTGTGCTTAAATTCGTCCAGTAGTGTTTGTTTTTATTTAAATATAACCAATGTTTTTGAAAACTGCTTTTTATTCTTATTTGTTTGCCTTTTAATTGTTGGAGTTTTCTGCTAGCTCAAATAAAAAATAGATTAACAGGACATTAATTCAATATTTATACAGAGAAAAAGTATGTTGATAGTTGAATTTATCTTTGCAAACAATTTTTTTACCGGCAATTTGCACTCAAGTAATGTAGTATAGATTAAGTAAGTCTTTTCAAAATTTTGTGGGAAGAGTTTTTGCTTTTAAATACCATGACTATATATTCTCAAAGAGTACATCTCAAAATATCTGTTGTTGCGCACATCACATAAATTTCATGGGTTTTTGAACAGTTTAAAAAGCTAAACATTCAATGTTGTAATTCCAATATTCCTCGCTATAGTGGGCGACATTGAAAAGGCGAAAGCAAAAATTTGATGAGCCAAAAGTTTTTTCAGAATGTTCAAGGAAATTTGAGAAATTAGTTTTGCTTGATCTGAAGTTTAAAATAAAATATTTGGACCGCAGCAAAACAAACAAAATAACTTTTTTACCTGATTCAATTCATTAAACTAACTTTAGTACTTTGGTTCGTTCACAATTCTACAACAATTTGCTTTCTCAAGGTCAATTAACTAAATATAAAATAAACTGAAAGATAAGCCATAAACATACTTTTTTTCTTTGGATCAAATCTGGGCTTTCCTGATTCATTTCAGGGAAAACTTTCTTTCAAGCGTACAAGAAAACTCAAAATTTTAAAATAGTCAATTGTAAATTAGTAGCTGAAATGTGATCAAATTTTCTCCAAAAGCGTTAATTTGTAAGATTGCACGGTGACTTCAATCATTCCTTTCTGAGGAAAGATTGGGCGAAATTCTAGATGATGCGTTTTCAATGCCGCCATGTTTATCATTACTTAGTACCTAAGTGAAATTCAGTTGTTGCATTGCGCGTATAGACCGGAAAAATTGGCAATTGATGAACGAAAAAATTAAAAAAAAACGCAGATAATTTGTACAATATGAAAGTTATTGAAACAATTAGGGTTGGCAAGAAGACTCACCAAGCACCATAGCATCTCCAAGATTGAGGTACCTGAGCACCAAGTACTGAGTCACTACATGCACACACCCGGCTGTAACTTCCACAAACAGAACAGCAGCAGTTGTCCACCCTATTCCTCTTAACCCACCCCCTCCGCGGCGGGTCTCATGTCCTTTTGGGGATAAATTTTTATTATTGCTTTTGAAGATGGGCTGTAAAGGATATAGGCAACATAAGAGCAGTCCGTTCCACCACATGCTGACCCAGATTGCGTGGGGGTATCGTTTGAAACCCAGGGAGCAGTAAACAGCACACGAAGACGCGAACACTGCGAGAAAGGCTGGTATGAGGGTACCTTTATTGCCGCCATTGTGACCCATATCGAAGAGAAGATAATTATAATCAATGGAGTAAACTAATGATGCAATAATTGCTGACTTATTTGAGGTCGGTCATTTTTGAGACTTGCTGGCCAGCAGAAACTTTATAGTGAATTTCGGGCGAAAACTGGATAAGATTTTGAGGGAGAAGTCAAGTTGCTTTTGAGGATTCAACAACTTATCGGTTCTTTCAAAGAATGTGAACAAATTGTGAAAAATAAGAGTTTTCAAAAGCACAATGCGCGAGCCATCGGCTGTTAATAATTAGCCATAGTAGATATTCTCTTCTGCTCACCATTTTTCTGAAAAAAATGAGCTTTGAGTATGAAAGATTTTATACGAAAGAGAAGTCAAGTTCATCAATGGAAAAGACTCACATAGAAGTCTCACTGAAACTATAGGTTAAAACTAAATTTTCTGGCTATATTTTTGTCAATAAGTGGGAAAATAAATTTTTTTATCCCCCGAAGACATACAATTGACTATTGTATTTGTGCTAATAACTCTTTGATATCTACATAACATAACAATCTTTTGCACTTGCACACGTCGCTTTGCTCAACATTGTGTAGTATTACACACATGTGTCTGTTTCCCTTTGCTATGCGGTCTGGTACCGTGTGGTTGTTAGTTGCATAATTCCCTTTTCCATTACTTCCTGCGTATGTTTATCTCAGACTAAGAAAAAGGAATAGAAAGGTTTTCTTATTTTCCTCAATTGCATAGGTCAGGTGCTCGCAGTAGTTTGATCTTTTTATTTTCGTTTTTGAATCAGAACCGCGGTGAAAACATTTTAGGAAAAATACTAAAAAAAAAATCAATAAAAAAATACATATTTATTACTAGAAAAAAAAACCCATCATAACTCCATAGTTTCTATCAAGTTTAGTTTCGCACTCTTTTGATAAGTAGCAGTAGAAAAACCTTTTTGGCGGAATAGGTTTTTTAGAGCTTTTCATGTGAAAGTTCTATTTGTTATGCCTCCTCAAGTTCTCCCAGTTCCTTGAACAAAAACCCCTAAATAGGGTTTAAAAAGTTTTCTTTGGTCTCGAGATTCTCAATTAGACTAGAATTTTTTAAAAGTACTATACAATCTAAGAGTACTATACAAATTAACTTCTCAGAACCTTCTCATAACCTTACTAATTGTTACTAAATAATCCCGAGGAAAAAACTATTCACTGGATAAGCGCTCAATTTGGTGTCTGTAGGTCACATAATCCAGAGACAAGTCTTTAAACATGTTCCAAAATGAATGTGGATTCAATGTTTGAAATTTCCGTGGATTCCACGCACAAATACCTGTAACAAGAATTTTGTCAGCACATCAGTTGTGTTGCGGAGTCTGTAACGAGCGAATATTGCTAGTTGTTTTGGATTTCGCAAACGTAAGCGGATACCGCAATAAATATAAATTGATCTATAACGTAATCAAATTTTTTTATTCCGGATTCCGCAAAATTGGCATCGATTTCAAGTAATACAGTGCTTAAGCGTTCGTGGAAACCAAAAATTTCAAAAAGATTAACTAAAGTAACTTGTTGCGGAATCCACTTGCAGTTCACAAAGTACACATTTTGACTTTGTAATGGTCACTTCTTTCTTTTTGGTTAGTCTGTAATACCAAAATTAAGAATGTGATCATCCTCTGGAATAATTGATTTTAACTGCTTTCTTAAAAAACCTTTTAAGTACTGATATATATTTTTTACTGATATAAAACCTCTAACAGCAGCTTTTAATTTCACCCCGGAAAATTCCTGATTTTTTTGGTTGCGAGTCTGGGCGTAGGTAGCGTAACTGTGATCATAACAATAAAAATGCAATAAATATAAATGCTACAAATGATTCCACTCATAATGCAACACGTCTGAATTGAATAACTGATTTTTCAGGCATAAGAAATTCTGAAAATTTGAAAAAAAAATCTAAAATTCATCTTTTTCTTTTTAAAATTAATATTTTTTATCAAGAAATTTGTATCAATTAGTCAGCCAAAAACATAAAATAATGACCTTTATTATGTGAATTGCTTTCACTGTACAACAAATTTGGTTTTTTGCAAAAAATTGCGCGGGTTTCCGACTTTTGTTTGTTTGGGGAGAGATAGATATCTTGGTGGCTGTTGAGAGAAAGTTTGACATTTTTAGGGTACATTTAGCAAAAAAAAAACATTTCATTATAATTGATTAAAGCGCATTAAAATGCACTTAGAAAGTTATAATAATTTTTATCCATTTTTTATCAATTCTAATCAAATTTTATACAAATTTACGAAGACTGTGCACAAAACCACAATTTAATGGATTGCTATCTATGAAACTCAGGTGCGGGTAACTTGGGAATACTTGATCCTCCACTAGAGTTTTCGAATTGATCGATTATGACGGATTGTTGGCAAAAAACTTAACCCATATATTCAATTTTCATGACTCATCCAACCATGAGAATGGATTTTGTTTGATTATTTTTGATATTTAAAAATTCATTATAATCCATTATAGTCGATTGTTTTATTTTTGTTTCCAATATAAACGATTACTTTTTGCTCATAAAATCCGTGAAAAAAGATTTCTTCTGTAGATGTGAAATGTCTATCTTACTTTTTGCTGCATTTTGCAGCACTAAAACCCGAACGAACACGTTCATCCCCATGAACGCCCCCCCCCCCTATCCCGTTACCCTAAGAATCAACATCCGCCCCTACGTACACACCTTCCCTGCCTCACAGCCCCCAAACACACCCTACTACCACATACCAAACACAGCCCCCCTCCTACGTTCTGGGGATGGTTTTCAACGTCAATATACATTAAAATTGGTAGGAGGAATATACCTGTGGTAAGTAAACATATACAAGTAAGGAGGAGGAGGGGGACAGGGGGTTGTTGAACACAAGCGTCGGACGGGGAGAGGGACAAGCTTAACTATTCAGAAAAATTGACACAGGAAACAAGGGTAAAAATCATAGGCAAGTTTACTCTCCCCCTCCACAAATGCTGGACAATAATTGATTAAAACTGAATTACATTTCAACTTAAAAATTTGTCAAATTTTTTCCAAAAAAGATCACTTATAACCGATTATAATTGATTAGAAAAAAGTTTTTTTGCTCAAAAAAAAATATCATTTTAATCTATTTTAAATGGATTTTAATAATTTTTTGTGGACTATTTCACAGAGATTGGAATCAAACATGCAATATAATTAATTTTATTCGTGAAATTTCGGCGCGGAAACTGATTGCGATAGTCTGAGCAACCTTGTGCTAGGAGTACACAAATTGATAAAGAAAAATTATTAATTTTTTTGAATTAACATTCTCAGAATTTACGTTTTTTTTTGCGGCACGCAAAACGCACAGACTATCCAGGAGCAGATCGGATCTAAGCAAAGAACGAAAATCGTCATTTCAGTCAGCCTAATGTTTTTTATTACAGGACTATTAGTCGAGAGAACTAAACTGCTTACGAGATCTCATGGCTATCGGCGCGGAGGACGGAAGCACGCCCCACTGCCGGACAATTTAGAAGATTTTGAAGTTGTGACTTTCGCAGAAGAAGTGGAATATTTATGTTTGGGGTGTTTTTTTATTCGGTCAATTTTCGACTTTTAAAAGAGCGTTTTTGAAATTAATTTATTGTACCATCTGAAGCATTTTATTTTTTAGAGCTCGGACTGCTAAGAAGCGACAAGTCAATGACCGAAAGTCAATGATTTTTGAAAAAATTTCGTTTTAAGAACTTTGAAAAAATTTTTAAAATTCACTCTTAGGCTGGTAAGTCTAAAAGTAACATAGCCAACTAACAGTTGGAAAAGAATCAAAGAGCGCAAAAAAAGAAAGAAGCTGACTTTTGTTTGAAAGGAAAGTTAACTTTCAAATATTAAAAGATGAAAATGAATGGCCTTACAGCTTTATGATCGTCAACTTTTCGATAATTATAACTCCATGCGAGAAAGCTGGAACAATGTGTGCAGTTTCTTTTTGCCTAAGAGATGTGAAAATTGAAACCTATTTTGGAAACTTGAAGGTACTCACGTTTTGTTGTGAATTTTTCATGTTTGCAGTTGAACTGCCCTTAAAAATGAATCAAATGTCAAACCCTGAAAAATCAAATTTGATGTGAACAAATTTTAAGAATTTTTCTGAAAACAAATCATCATTACCTGTGTTTTTCGTAATTTTTTGGGGGTTTGAATTTTGTGGAATAACTATTCATGATTAATTTTACGTTTTTAACACACATGAATGGCGGATCAATGCAATTGAATTATTTATTTCAATTTAAAAAAGGAATTTCCGTGCTGGGGTTCATTGGTTTTTCTCCAGACCAAAAGTGAGATGTCTTGTCACTCTTTGGTTCATCTGAACACAAGTTTTACCACGAAACATAAATTTCATAGAGATCCCTTTAATTGAAAGAATCTCGCAGTGGGTAAAAAATAACTCTTCTATAAAAATCATGAAACTCAAGCAGTGTGCTGATATTTTGGTGGTAAAAAAACTTAAAATGTACATCATGTAAGCTTAAAATATAAACTTAAAATGTAAGAGATCCCTATTAGTTGAAAGGATCCCGCGGTAGGTGAAAATTAACTCTTCCATAAAAATCATGAAACTAAAGCAGTGTGCTGACATTTTGGTGGTAAAAAAAACTTAAAATGTACATCATGAAACAACTATAGAGAAAGGCAAAAAGTTCGGACAGACAAGATTAATTAAAAAGAGCAACTGTCTAGACATCAACTTAAATAAAAATTTAAATAAAAATAGCGTCGAAAGTTCATAAAGCAGAGTTTTCGCGCAAAACCTATGATAACGGCGGGCAATTACATCCGAAGCGTCGAATGGTAAACATTGAAACAGAAAAATTGTTGCTCAGGGTGGCTAATGTTTTTCTGCGATAAGTTTCCAAATTATGAATCATCTTCAATTCCGTTTGTTTTTTTTGGCGGCCTGATCTGTTATTTTTGTTGTTGAAAATGACTCCTTGATATATTTCTTAGTATAACATTATGGTAGGTTTCATTTTTCAACTAATTTTTTTAAATGTTTTTTTAGCTAACTGTAAAATCTGGAATTTCATCGCAGTATTTAAAAATTAGGCTAGTACAATCATCGGATAATCGACGACCTCGCATATTGAGTTTGATCCGACAAAAATTCAGAGTTGTTCCGCTTCAGATTTTGCATACAAAAAACGCCGAAAAGCACTGATTGCTCCTTTTAATTAATTCTGTCTGTCCGATTGTTTCTAGTAATTATAATTAGTTGCAAAAAGTTCGGACATTCAAAAATAATTAAA